TATGGATGTATACCTTTACCAACATGTTGGTCACGTGATAGTCGACTGGTCGACTCGTCGACCTGTCGACCAACATTCCTTAGTAGTAGTATTCAGAGGACGAGGGTTCTATATAAGACTGGCACGTCTGCCATTTAGATAGGAGCTTCGTGCTCAACTTAGTTATCAATCTTATCATATTAGTTTGACATCTTTGATACAAGTAACGAGTTCACTTCCAAGTGAACAACCCGATAGTCTTCTTCTTATCATAGCATACCAACCAGCGAACACCCAGCCAAGTTTAGTTAGCCAGTTTGAGTATTCGTTACACGCACCTACTAAAAACCTGCGACACCACCTCTTTTATCTACACCTTTATATATATTCCATATATAATTATATAGTAAACAACGGCTCAAATTCTATTCCATAATGCCTTAAGCCCTTAACAATCGCAGACCGTATTTTACCCTGCCTCTAGACCTAAAATTAGACCCCGGGTTTTATACTACTATATTATAAAAGTTATTAATATTCGCTCTTCGAGCTTTCTAGTAAATTAGAGGGATTAAGATACCTACTATAGCCGAGATAGAGGAGGTTACTAGTGTTATAAGAAGGAACTAATCGAATATCTTATATAAAATATAGCTATATATAAGAAACTAATAGCTAGAACCTAATCCTCGAGAATAAAAGCTAGCTCTCTTATTTAAGAATACCTTACGCGTTACGTTACTTCTCGATAATAAAACTATAGATAAAGATACTCGCTCTTTACCTTAGTCTAATCTAGTAGAAGTAGTAGGAGTTATTCTTATAATAAACTATTTAAAGATAATTTAGAGAGCTTATATAAGGGACTATAGAATAGTAAATGCTATAAGGTATAAGGAGCGACTTCTAACTAGTCTATAAGCTAAAAGGAGGCTTAAATAGATAAACGAGATACTCGGAAAGAAGTACAAAAAGAGTAGCTAACTAGGAGAGATTCGAGGATAATTTGTATAAGAACTAATTTAGCGCTTACTATTCCTGTACTCTAAGGACTAGTTTACTATATACTTTTATAATGAGTTCTATTTTACTATTAAATTAGAGTATACGAAGCGTATAAAGAGACTCCCTAGCTAACGCGATATACCTAAGAATATTTAACGAAAGAAGGGTCTAATAAAGAAAAACGTATTATAAAAATTAAAGGAGAACTAGTACTTTAAGATTCTCTTTACCTTTATTATTCTTGGCCTTAATTATAGGAAGGTCTTATAGTATAAGATACTAAATAGCGTAGATAAGATAAATACTAAGGTTTATATATCGCTTCTTATATAACTATAATAAGACTCTAACTTCTCTAGTTTTATACTTTACTAGAACGCTAATTTCGTATATAAGAGTAAGGTTATAGTAAATTAGATATAAGCTAAGAACTTTCCTTTAATTACTTTACCTAGTATCTCTCCCGACTTCTTTATATTAGAGACTATAGCTTACCCTTTAAAGAGAACGTTTTATATAAAATAGGTAGATATAAATAAGGAGGGATTTAAGCGATTTTATAACGTATTTAAGGACATAAGCTAGGAGACTATAGAATATATATATTTAAAGTATACTAGAAGATTATATAAGTATTAGAGGGTAAATAGATAAATAATACCTTATTAATTCTATAGCATTACTACTAAACTTTAGTAGATATGTGTAACGAATACTCAAACTGGCTAACTAAACTTGGCTGGGTGTTCGCTGGTTGGTATGCTATGATAAGAAGAAGACTATCGGGTTGTTCACTTGGAAGTGAACTCGTTACTTGTATCAAAGATGTCAAACTAATATGATAAGATCGATAACTAAGTTGAGCACGAAGCTCCTATCTAATGGCAGACGTGCCAGTCTTATATAGAACCTTCGTTCTCCACAGGAGTGTGGTTGGATCGTCAGATCCACGCTCCTGGATCATGGATCATTTAGATCCAAATGATCCACGTCATGTGACTTGATAACCAAAGGAAATCCTTGGATCGTCTAGCTAGCCTAGTCGATCCCTATTTGCTATAAGAGCTATGATAGTGCTCAACCTGTCAGGGCGCCGCCTGGTCTTCACTCATCACGTGCGCGCACATGATTCGTGACAATAGCGAACCGGCCAAACAAGCGAACCGGCCAGAATTTTCTACACTCGCGGTTGAAATTGTAAGAACTCTACCACAACGCCTCTAATTAAAAAACACTATTCAGAAATTTCTTCCTCAGATACTTCCTCTATAATATTACAGGTGCGCGTATTATGACCAGTCTCTCCGCAGTTGCCACAGCGCCGTGCACGTGATTCTTCCCTCGGCTTCCGACCACTACTTCTCTTTATTTCCTGCATTACCTGCTCACCAACGTCTCTATCATCCTGTAGGTCCTGCGCTTCCTGTTGACTAAGTGATCCTCCTTGCTGTAGGCGTGTTTTTTTAGCTCTACGGCGCTTACTTAGTACTTCATTTGCTTGTCGAAGTCTCTGGTTCTCAGCTTTCAATAGTACTATCTGGTGCATTACTTTTGATGCACCCTTCGTAAACTGGTCAATGGCCTCGTAAATAGGGGTTGGAGAGCTACTTTGGTGGCGTAAAATTCGATCTTTAATAAATGCAGTCTGTGATAAGGCTTCAGTAGGGTTATTTGGTGTCTGGGAAACCCAAGGCTGAGCGGAATACGGGGGGGAGTTTGGAGGCGTTGGCGTCTTTAGCTTAAGATCAAGTGTAGAAATTACACTTTCTGGGTCAAATGGAAGAAGCCCAGCCCCTCGGAACCCTCCTCGGATATTGCTTTCTGTCATTGCAATATTAAATGCGGCGTGGAAGGCAGGAAAGAAATCATCCTTAGTAATATGGATGATCGGAGCCCGCATCATATCTTCAATTTGCTGACCATATGCCCTTTTCAAAGGGCTAAAACAGCCAACGTCGAGTGGCTGGAGTATATGAGAAGAATGAGCAGGCATACAAAGAGTGATAATGTTGTTTTCCTTGCAATATTCCTCAAATTCGTCGGAGTGGTGGCTTTCATGGCCGTCGAGGACTAATAGACGATAACCACCAATAGATTGGGACTTTGTATGCTTCTCAAAATGTCGAATCCAATCCATGCCTTTCTCATTTGTTGTCCAACCATTTTCAGTAATAGCAATCACCCAGTTAGGTGGAAATCCACTGTTTTGGTACCAAGAAGCGAGGTGATTTTTTGCGGCAACAATCACAAACGGTGGAACACACCAGCCTTGGGCATTAACCCCCTGGATTACTGTAACCCATTCCCGATTACCAGGCTGTACTCTTTTTGCTTTTACACGTCCTTCTGAGCTTGTAATAACCATTGCAGTTGAGATAACGCCCATCATAAACCCAGTCTCGTCAAAGTTGTAGATATCTGCATCGTAGATTCCGTACTTCGCTATTGTGTTTCGTACAAGCTCAAACCAGCCTCATTCGCTCAAACCAGCCACGAATGACTTCTGGATCTTCGCACTTAGCTCTCGGATAGTCGTATTTTCGTTGGAAGCGTGTCTGGAGTTCTGGGCGGCGCTTAACAAAGTTATAAGCCCAACGCGTCCCGACGCGTGGCGCGTCGCGTGCTTCAAGAAGTCGATTTGCTATATCTTCAATTACAGATATCCGCGGAGGAAATCCTTTTGTAGCTAGGTCGAGGATATGTTGAACAAGTACTGATTCCTCTAGCTCGGTCATTTTCCGTGAATTGGCTAAAATATCGCGTCGTGAAGGTATACCAGGCAAACATCGACCTAGCTTCCGGTGGTCTACAGAATAGGTCCTGGCAGCAGCTCGAGCACGTAAATTTGGGTCTTTTTGCATAGCTTGGATAGCTAAGACTAACCGGCTTTCGTCATTTTTCAGAGGCATCCTTCGTTGTAGAGAAATTTAATATTTCGTGGAGGTGTGGTGGGGTCGCCGGGTTTTGGCCGGTTCGCTTGTTTGGCCGGTTCGCTATACATGCACGTTATAGATTTTATATTTTTATATACCCGTAGTACTATTAATATTAGTGACATGTCGGTGATCTGTCCCCCGTTTTGGGGGTAGTACGACCGCTGTTTTACGCACCCTTTCCACTCGCTTCGCCTCCCAACCCTCAGGGTTCAGGACTCTAGCGTCACGCTGCTTTAGGGCTATGGTTTGCGCCAAACTTCATCCTTGCGACCCATAAAAGTTTGAAACATTCGTCACCACCATCCAAAAATTGAGGGCTCTTTGTACCAAAGAACTAAAAGTTTCCCTATCTTGCTCCTTTAGAAAATGTGTTTAAATAATGACTGCGCCATCACTGGCCTCTTACTTTCTCTTTTCTCTTCACTCCTCTCACCATATTTCCTCTCTATTTTCAATTAATTACCAACCGCTTCTTATTCAATTGTGAAAAGTGTTCCTGGCACCTCACGCGTCGCTGCCTACATACCCACCACTCCAATCCCCTGAAAGCGCTGGTGACCTCAATCAACTCACATTACAATAAATGGCACAGTTTCCTCGACGACACGCTCAGCGACAAGCTCTGAGTCATGGTCAGCCAGAGACTCCTCCGCTAGGCTCGCCTAGTAACGAAGATTCTCAATGGCACAAAGCACTAGCTAAAAAACCCAAGGGACTACCTGCTTCCTCTAATGATCACGACTCTGGCTCTGAATCTGGTTCTATTTGCGATGAAGATTCTGGCTACGATTCCACTGCGAATACGAAAGCAAAAGTCGAGTATTATCGACAGAAAAAAGCTCAGTTCCTGGCTGATGGCCCAACTTTATCAAACCCTTGTGATAGTACAAAGGATATGATGCGTGCAGCGGAACGGAAATGGGCATTGTAAGTTCTTGCTCTCTAATTACATTTTAAAATCATTACTCATTACATGGATTAGGTTTTGTGAGGAGACAAGGTCTGGAGATCCTATCCCCGCCCTTAAAGCTGCCGATGCGAGTGACTTCAAGACGTATCTCCTATGGCGGAAAGAAAATTCCCGGATTAGGAAAAAGTCGAGTATGGTCACAGACTGGCTAGTCCTTAGCATGGTATACCAGCGAACAGCCCAGCGCTATATGGATGAGGGTGTTATGTATGATATTCGTAATGTTAGTAAATTCTGGTTAAATACAAGCCTTACAATACTAAATTCTCAATAGTGGATTCACACCCTCGGTCTCGATGAATCAGAAAAAGACAAGGCAGGGCTCTTCATGGAAGACTTATGTGTGCTTCAAAACGGTCACTGGGTACGCGACCGGGAGATCTTTGCTCATGAGCGGCTTCGGCTGCAACTGTCTCCTCTTCTGATCTTTGCTGGCTGCACGTCCACACGACCAAAGGCCCTAGTAGGAAAGCGGCCACTTTTATACGAGGATATCGAGTTCCAGGTCTTTCCGCCTCCTACTAAAGGACAACTGCCAATGGTAATCCTAATCCTTAATCTGAAGCATATCAAGAGGTCTGGTGGAAAGACAAAGCCGTAGGTGCCCCTTTTATATCTTTTAATCTGTGGCGTACTTTTTTACACTTTTACTAACTATTAACAAGGAAGAAACTTGCATTCTACGAGGGCGAGAATCTCATCTGTTGTCCTGTTCTCTTCACGATGGCCCTCGCTCTTACAGATGGGGCTTTCAAAAACAAGTTTGCCTCTCTTTCGCAGATCTACGATCTAGTTGTTCCGAGCAATACAGACCGTATTAGATTGAAGTGGGATGATACGTGGGCAGGAAGACCTATCTTCCGCGATGTTGAGAAGACCCCCGAAAAAGGGTTATATATTTCTGAGACTAAGCCGCTTCAACATTCGAAGCATCGGCACCACTTAGTCCGCCTTGGTCGAAGCTGTGGATATCGAAAGCGGTTAGAATTTTACGACTTACGACGAGCTTCCGGAAAGAAGTTAAATGGTAAGGATAAACCTCTCCCATCTTATATCGCTCCTTAGTAATTATATTTACTAACACTAATGCTATAGAGGCCCTTACCCCCGAAGAGCGAAGGCAAATTATGAGAAATCGTGGAGACGTCTACGAAAGGCATTATATGCCTTCATTAATTGATGCAGACTGTCAAGCTATCTACCTTGGTACAACACGACGAGACGATCTTGTACGCGCTGTTGGCCGCTTAGAACGCCATGACCAAGCTCCGATCGAATTGACCGACATACAAAAGTCTGAGATCAAGAAGGATGTAGAGGTCATTAGGCTTATTCGAGTTCGTGAGAGGTATGCCGCGAAAATCAAAAAAGAAGGCTATTCGACAATCAAGGAGTCTAAGAATACACTGTGGTACAAGCGACATAATGAAGCGCAACGCGAGCTGAATAGCCTCAAAATAAAATTAACCAGTACGCTACTTGAGAATACCATCGACCAATTCCACGAAACTGTCCATACCACGGAGGTTGACCGCCAGATGCGAGGTATTCTCCCTGCATCAGATGTGCTTATGCCGCCGACAACTCAATATGAGCTGAGGGAGCGAGCTACAGTGGCTAACTACTTTTTCAGCCAATTGATCATCTTAATGAGGATCAAACCTTTCACGTACGGGTACAGCTTGTCCAAGCACTTATCAATCTCAGCAGAAAGCAAGTAACCCCTCACCAGTTCAAGCACTCCAAGACACAAAAGAGTGTCGCTATAAATGATATTAATAATTCAGACCATATCGCTAGCAATGTACCTGATCTACCTGGCACTGCTAACCTATTCTGTGCATTTTGCAAGTGGGGGGACAATGAAGCTGGCCCACGAAAGCAGAAACATCTATTTTCTCGCATAGACAGCCTTAGGAGACATGTCCAAGCTCAGCACCTTCATAAACGGGCCGCTGCCAACGGGGTTTCTTGTCCTTACAAAGGTTGTTCGGCGTACTTGGGCAGCGCCACACACTTCTTGTCCCACACGGCACGGCAGCATGGAATGTCTCTAATTTTTGTTCCTTAATATATACTCTGTATAGTAGTTTTTTAGACAATTAAATTGATTCTAAATAACGGATGCTACATTTTTTAAATTTTGTTTCATCTATTTTATTCCCTTCATTCTGATTCAACATTATTTTAGAGTGCTTACCTTAATGATAGGCCAACCAATCATAGTCTAAACTATTCTGATGGTTTTTGTGACGGAACTGGCCAAGTGACCTGGTCACATGGTAAGCCGAGATCCGCCCCAGCCTATATATAATAGAATAGCGAATTGATCTCTCGATCAATTCTTGTGCCTTTTTGGCCCGCTTGCGCAGTTGGTTAAAGCTATTCCATCCATGCTCGTCACAGTTTTGAGGAAGGAAGTTGTCGCTGTGGTGTCACGGTACAAGTGCAAGTCGAGGACAATTGCGACTTGGTTGAATAGATTGATTACAAGAAGAGAAGAGATTCTTAAAGAGATCTATCTTATAAGTTGGTTGAGACTGGTCTGTGCTAGTTTATCCACAGTTGTGAATAGCTTTATAAACGTGTGCAAATCACCTGATCCAACTCCTTGACATGTGGTGTGTGAAAACTTTTGCAAACTATGTAAAGCGGTGAAGAAATATTTATAAGGCGGTGAGAAGTTTTGTATTATGAAGGCGGTGAGGAAAGATTTGTAAGGCGGTGAAAGGGTTTATAGAGTGTAAAGGCGGTGAGGGAATATTATAAGGCGGTGAAAAGGTTTATACCGTGTAAAGGCGGTGAAGAAATTCAAAAACCTTACCTTTGTTAAATACTAAACTTACAAATGAAGAAAGATTTCTATAAACAAACGCTTCTAATATATTAATTCGAGTTTAACTTCGAAATAAATTACTTTTAAAATTGTATATTCTTCTTCTAATATTTTTTCTCATTAGCACTCAACTGTAGCTTACGACTACTGAGCAAATTCGAGTCCTATTATACAAACCACAAATTTCTTCCTACGATTACGCAACTCAACAGTTTCTCGAACTGTTGGGACGAGATCGTACACCTCAGCTGGTTGTCCAGCCTAGCACGCCCTGCCACACTCCGCTAATTAGGCGAGGTGATTAAGGTAATCAAATTAAGCAAGGTGGTCATTGAGCGGGCCGACATGGTGATTGAGTTAAGCGAGGTGATCATGCTGCTAATTAAGTGGGGTAACCAAGTTGATCAAATTAAGCGAGGTGGCCATAGTCATCAAATCAAGCTCGTAGACACATTTCCAATCCCGAGTTGGAGGTGATGACGGGTTTAGTACAGTGAACAACGTAGGCAACCTCTACAAAGATCGAGGGTAGCTAGTCCAGTGTTTTCATTCTCCCAGCCTCTTAGCACGAAGTAGATTTTTCCGGCAGCCTGGGTCAAGCCCGCGATTTTGTTCTTTTATATATACAACAAGCTACATTTGACACAAATGAATTTTGCATTAAAATGTCAGATGATAAAAGCTAGGAAATGACGTTTCCCACCCCCTATGACATTATAATTAGTCTATATTTTTTAATTAATTTCGCTGTACAAGCGTGCGTTGTATCAGGGGAGCAATGAGTAGATTGACCGCAAGGAGAGAAGAGCTCCAAAATAGCAGCGCTATTTAAGTACAAGTAAGTGGCCAAAGCGCAGGACTAAACCTCAGTAAGCTCTATTTCGGAACTAATTCCCGAGTTTTCAACGTACACCCATTCATTCTGATTCTATTACATGTTGCAAGGCTATGAGAAGGCCATATCACACATCTTCTAACGTATAATAAAAAATTTACAATTAAGTCGTCCATGCCACTTATATATAGCCCGAAATAAGACCTTATCGAAAAAGAGGCTCCAGGGAATGGGAGAGTTTTTGGAAGTTTCATATCCACGCGTGGATCCGTAGGGCAGAAAAGGCAGTTGCGAGGAAACGGAGTTGAATGGTGCGGGAGTTGAGGGTGAGAGCTTCCTCCGCTAAACGTTGGCCTAGAACCCAGGATTCGATAAAGTCTGTTTACATCTCTTCACATGAACACCTCATTACTACTTTAGAATGCACTTTGGTGATGGCATCCATCCCCTAAATTGAGATGAATAACCCAGATCAGATATTTAACGGGTACCCTTCGTTTGCATAAATATCGATTTCCAGGTGAATGATTTTGTATGGCATTTTGATGCTTGTGATAAGGATTGCGGTTGGTGTGGCCATTATATGGAACATGTCTCGCTCTGAAGTAGCCTAAGAAGCGGGGAAGGGGGAACAATGGAAATATAGGTGATATCTTGGTTTATGTGAGACAAGTTCGGATTGAACAGCCCCTGTAATGTGGGTGGCACTGATATGCATCGCTCACTGGTGAACCACGTTAGGGCGCTGGTGTCTCTGCTGCGAGTGGTAGTAAGTTTCGTTCTTTTCCTTCTAATCAATTCACTGACAGAAATGGTCCCAACCTTTCGTAGCAAAGATGGGTTATTTTCAGAAGGAGGCAAAGAAATGTTCTTTCATACGTCAACCCCTACAGAGGAAATGCAGCAGTCAAGGAAGCTAGGAGAGCTTGCTGAGAAAATGATTCATGCGGTCCCAACTCCATTCCATCACATATTGGCCGACTTATCAGAACGAGGAAAATTACACCGTCTATACACACAGAACATTGGCGAACTGGACACCTGTTTTGAGTATCTCAAAGCAGACCTATATGAGAAGGCCTGCTTTCAGAAGGTAGCCAATCCACATATCTGGACCATCCAGTTGCACGGGGGCATGCGGACTACGAGATGTCATATTGCGGGCCATATTGATCAACTCAACCCTCAGGCCCTCATTAACGGGAGGCAGGAAACTCTGCTCTGCGCACCGTGTTCTATAAGATCAGCAGAGCAGGCGAGAAAGAGGAGAAAGAGGAGAAAGAGAATGGGACTCGGACTCGGAATCAAGGAAGCAAATATCGTTATGTATAACAAAAATCCCAACGACAACAAATCTGAAAGAGATACTGGCTTCATACAATATGATGCGGATAAAGTTCCCGTGGATCTAGTCATTGTTTGTGGGACAGGAGCAACTCTCGTAGGTATCAAAGATTTGATTAAGACTATGTCGACAAATCGGGCATCTTTATGGATTAATACCGAAGAGCCTCCAAAGATACCTGGCTTTACTTTTACACATAAATAGATAGGCGACTGTCAAGAGATTGCATGGGAATATCTTCGAAGACACACCCAGCGTATGACAAATTAGGGCATGTTAATGCGAGGTAGATTTCAAATGGAAGGGTCAGTCTAGTGAAACGTTAAATTTAGGTAGTCATGTTATTGGTTTTACTCTTGTGATTTGTGAATTTAACACCTGAGGCGCTGATCTCTTGCTTTTGTCGCACCTACCTATATTACTGTTGCTGTACAGTTATTACAAATGAGTTTTTCGTGTAAATTCTGCCAGATGTAGTTAGTACAACACTCTTGGCAAGCTTGTTTTCGCAAGTTGACTCTATTTTTAAAGAGCCTTATATTAATCAACCTAATTGGAATTGTCCAGCAGAAACTTAAACTATATCTACCTATAAATCTACATCTAGTAATTCACGAAAAATTAGTTTCTGTCAACCCGTACTCATATCCCCGTGACAAATTGGAAGGTACATCGCCCTTTGAGATTTCGCAGGCATCAAATAGGAATGTCGCGATACGAAATAAATTTTCACGATATCAGAGTAATCCACCAACGAAAAGGCCTTATCGATGTGGAATCCCTTGCAAAAGTTCCTTCTCTCTAAGGTCGTACTCCCCTCAATAACCTATTTTATCTTACTCATTAATATATAGGGAAAAATTAGACATTCATCGCTTGATTTGTAAAATCAATTCAACTAAAGCGCTTCCGTTGAATCTTCCAACGACGCCTCCAACTATTGAGTCAAAGCATACTTCAACCCCATTTACATTACCTAAGATAGTTTTGGGCCTCGATGAGTCTGGCGCAATAACTTCTACCCCACTTCCCTTGGAAGGGATCTCACCCCATTCTTCGCGATCTGAGCTAGATTCCAATACCGATGGCTCCTCTCACCTCAATGTTTCGTCTTCCCCGGATTCAAACGATGGAGATTGCTCTAGTCTCTCGACGCCAGCCACCTTAGAAGAAGTCTCACCCCTCGCCTATTTGCGCTCTGAACTATATTATTCTCACGCAGTACCGGACCTCCTAGATAATTCAAACTCACTTTCAGCTTCAAATGGCTATTTGGCTTTCTTGGGTTTTCCACCAAGGGATCCTTCCGTTAACTCTCTTCATACAACTTTGTATTCACCAGAGGGGTCTCTTCCTGCTGACTCGGCATACCAGAAGCTTTTATTTGATGTGGAGACTAATTTATTTTCTCTCTCGCGAGTCCATCAGCTGTGCTTTTTTCAGCTTCTCGTCGCGGTAAATTCCGTCTTACAGTCTCTGTTGCAAATTGGAGGGCGGTCACGCGTTCTAGGCAGTATCTTTGAACAATCTATTGCTGGTAGTCTAGAGCATATTGTATCAGTGCTTCAAATTGATCTAGCTGTACTTAGGGGAATTACAAGGGTCGGGATTGAACAAGAATGAAAATCCTCTCTTCTGTCATGTTTTACAGAGATTGCGTAGCGTTAGAGATGAGTTGCCCGGGTTGCTTCTTCCGGCGAGAAAAGATGAAGTATGGGGCTTGCAGCTAGAAGCAGAATCTGCATGATCCTTGGTCGGGGAACTAGCTGGTAGTAAAAGGAAGCCAGCATATAGAAGCGCTTTATTCCTGGTTTTCTCAATTCGAAGTTTAGAAGTAGAGCGGTGAAGCATGAATAAGTAGAGAGTACTAGAATATACTTCTGAATATAATTGAGGCCTTATATTTTTTCCGCTCCAGGCCAAGTGGCCGAAGTATCCTTGGAACTTGCATTGCGATACAAAACCATATAATATATGCTATGCCTTCAAAGAGGTTTCGCTTGGTCAATTCTGTTGCCGTGGCGAATAGCGTGGCAATGGCCGGTTTTGCATTCAAGGAGAATGTCTTGATGAAAGCCATTTTACCAGAGCACGAGGACGTTGGTCGCAATAGCGAATACTTCCGAAACTTAGCTGAAAGCTTGAGCTACATCAAGGCCGATGCGATCGCCGAAAAGCAAGGCTGTCCTGAATCTTCTGGCTTGGAGTAGTGGTTTGCACAAGGTCCGAATAGTGGGCAGTGCTATCTTGAGCCATAGCGCTCATCAAGTACTAAGCGGGAGGCGACTTGTTCGCTTTCTGGCAAGGCACAGAGCCATGCCACTGTATATTGATCAGCCGTCAATGACATCTTGACAGACTGGATGATTGTTAAAAGCGGAAAGCAAGTCTATTAAAGATGAGAATAATTTATGGTAGAGGAGAAAATCAAATTTGGAGTAAGGGGTGATATCTTTGAAGAGATTTTCCGGCAGGAGATGAAGATAAGTAAATCAAGCCGAAGAATCAAGCCGAAGAGTCAACAGCGGGTGGCATTAAATCAGGTTCTCGGTGAGGGAGGTTTGGGTGAAAAATGCACCAGAGCCCCCCATGCGACCGGGGGACGGGCAGTGTAGGGAATAGTTTAACTATCGTAGTTTTAGCACAGTTTTAAAATCCGAAAACTAACCACGTGATATGTAGGCACCCGGAACGGAATAAGTCTATTCCAGTGTGGTAATTTCCGCTACGAGTGCACAGCAATTACAGCGAGCCACACCTCCCGAGAGCTTTGCGAGTTCACCATCAACACCTCCTCCGACCCCTTCAGCGCCAGCTCCGAAAAGTCAATCTCTGGCATTACTACAAATACAAAGTTCGGTATGTCCAGGGGAGTCGTGTGCAGCTACTTGGCTAATGTGATAATAGACACAATTACTTCCTACCAGCCAAATTATATATCCTTCGAATGCCCGGCTCATTGCGAAAGTCTCCAACCCTATATCACGCAAGAGTACCTACGCCGGTTAGACGCAATTGCTCAGAGCGGTAGTCCTTCAGCGATATTTACAGGAAACATTAAAACAGTATATCTGCAAGAAACAATCAGCTAGACGCCTTGGCTGCTGAGTTGGGAGAAGACCATTTTTGTAATATGGAGCGACGAACTGGTAAGTCAAGCTTCAGCTTAATGCAATCTTATTTTCTTGAACTTAGTGCTAAGGATATTATAGCGGTCCTTAGATCCCATGAAACGAATGACACGACATACGAATTCACCGCTACAACATTTAAAAAAACCTCGCGACTTCCCTTTAATGATCCACGCGCTGACGGCACACCTTTTATATGGTTTAGAAAATTGTAAGAAATACTCGGATTTTCTTTTGCAGGTTGATAAACAGTAGAGTTCCTTTTAGATATAATTATACAATACTGACATATATTTTTTATTAGTAATCATGAGCGTATTACTAATGAAGCCAAAGCCTTGGAGTTGGTCTCTCAGCAAACGACGATTCCTGTGCCAGAACTACTTGATTATGGAGAACATTCGGATGGTCGGCGGTATTTGGTTACAAAATTTATACCGGGCGTCCTTCTGCGCGAATTTCTATTCCAAGGTTGCTCCATGGCAACAGGACAAAAGCACACAGACAGTACACCATGTAAAACGTGTTTAAAGCAGGCATACTCGAGTGCGCTTCAGTTTATCGAACACACTGTTTTTCCCCAGCTCAAGAACTTGACATCTCAACAACGAGGCATCGACGGATTTGTTATGCCCCCCTCTTGGCTTAGCCCTGACATGGACCCTCCGTGGAAAGGCAAAAAATATTGGAAGACTCTCCCTCTAGAAAATCCCGAGTATGTTTTCCAACACGGCGACATCGCAGCTCACAATATCATGATGGACCCACAAACTCTTCAACCCATAGTCTTGTTTGATTGGGAATATGCTGGTTACTTCCCACCAGGGATGGAGAAATGGCCCGGATCTCTGGACTTAGAAGCCTACCGTAAGCGTGGCGACAAATTAGCCAGTGCGATAGCGGATTTTCTTCCCACAGAGTACATCGAATGTTACAATAAATGGAATGACGAGGCAGAATTGCAGAGATTGATCGAATCTGGGGAACTCCCACATCCTGAACAACTAAGGCAGGTCTAAAGTACATTCATATTACCCAAACTCAAACTTGTACTGCGAAATGACTAAGTGATAATCCCTCCCAAAATGATATTGAGCAAATGTGACAAGTAAAGTAGACCTCCCCCTCTGACCTCTGACTCCGATTACATTTAAGCAAAATCAGTTCCCCCGCATTTCAAGTATTTCTTAACAGATATAGAGACCGTCGCTCCACAGGCCTTGTTCTGACATGTCTTAGTGTCGGCGGTGTCCGGCATTGCAAGAGATTCTCTTCAACAATCTTAGTGGAGTTCATCGGCAATAGGTATGAGAACTCACTGTAGCTGATCCTCTTGAGGCGTAAATTTGGTGTGCTGATGAAGTTGCTGAAGGAAGCACTTTTCGAACAGGGAAAATTAGTAAGGGTTCTCCGTTTCTGTCCTGTAAATGGAATGAAACGTACCGGAGTTTTGTTCCTCTTAGCTAGCGCAGAGTGTGGTTTAGATCTTTCTTCGAGGGTAGTGATCAAGCTTTACTAGCGGGAACTTTTACACAGCCAGGCTTCCTTTTATATTTCAAGGTTGTCGTACGAAGCATTAGTAAATAGCCACACACGAATTCGTCCGATAGGTAAAGCGTGCTGCGGAAATTGAAGCCGGATTCTTTGATATCAGGTAGGTGTGGTAACGATCCTACTGGTCTGGGGCAAAGCATCTCCCCGTCGGAAACCCTTGCCTATCCGTGCCTTTCTATATATTTAATGCGATGTGACTACTCAACACCTATCCTACGAACCTGGAGTTGAGCATTGGTTTGAACCACATCCACTTTGAGCCGGTGAAACCTTATAGGACAGTGCAATCCGGAGAAGTTCCTATTGGAGGTGGTAAATCCGGAGACAGAATCGAAAAATGTTGAGTGGGGTAATATGACAGGTAATGCGGTCATCTAGGGTCAACGCGGGGGGCAGGCGTGGGGCAAAGCACGGACTAGAAGGTGTTCAGTCAGGCCCACTCGCCCACTTTTTTGAGGTTCAAGCAGCATTATCCAGTCTACCTTTTAGGATCATTCTTGCTTCCATAGAGCGTGCTCAGGATGAGATCAATGAGCTATCCCATGAGATCAACAGACTTATGTACCAGCGAAACACCTCATCAGCCTGTACTGCCGCTAGATCGGTGCCTAGTGCCTAATATCTGATATCTTTCTTTCGTTTGCTTACCTGTTAGTTCTAATTAGGATTTCGAACCGCCTCTCCCGTCTCTATTTGACCACCTTAGTAAGCTTCTTTATTTAATCAGAGTCTGGATCTTACATTACCTTACAATATTTTATTATTCGAGCTCTAACGTAGTAGATAAAACCAAAGATATTCACAAGGGAAACAATATAAAGGTAGTCTTGAGGTATGCTACAAGGAATAAATTTATACTAACTATACCTATATCCATAAGTAAGTATTTTGGAACAATTTTAAGCGTAGGAGGGGAATGTCAGACGGCAGTAGCCGAGCCGACTAGCAGTAATCAAAGTATTTATTTCGTTTGCTAAGTACTTGACATAAGCTCTGTTTGTATGCTAAGCCGGGACTGGGGGCCCCCGCGAAGAGAGAAGTAACCAAAAATATGGAGCTCATTCAGGGAGCAAGTAACTTTCTTCAATAGTTGGAAGTGGCAAGGTGTTGTTAATGCTGAGAGGGAAAGTCTTAGTGACCTTTGTCTGCCGCACTAATCGCCCTAAGCAGAGCAAGGCAACTGCTGGCCTCTTGAAATATTATGACAGGTAGAACCTTGATGCTTATAAGCCATAGAGCGACCTAGAATGGAATGTATTGAATGTTAAAGTAGCTCTTCTCGAGAAAATGAAGATGTTGAGACCGATAATATCGACCCCTTCTAAGACAGAGCTGATTCCTTCCTTTGTTAAACAAATGGGCGGAGTCGAGCAGTCCAGCGAGAGGTGTCAGGATTTATTGGGTTGAAAGGGTATTGGGTACTGAAGGTCGTGGAGAATTGATTGCATTGTAAAAGGTAGCTATCTAAGGTGTTTATATAAAGAGTGTAAGGTTTAGGCAGACATGAAGCATTTAGGCAGCAGAACTATAAGTGGATCAAATAAGGAAGTGGAGCAAAAGAGAAAGTAGACCCAGCACAACATAATAATTAAACCATATAACTATTCCTACCAGTTTAGGATGTATTACATTGAGCAATTCGGGGTTTGTATTATTTATTGTTGTTTCTATAGCCTATGAATAGTATGCGATCTACTAGTGTATTAGAAAAATCTCAGACATCAAACTGCTCTTAGTGCCCTAAAATCCTAATCTTATACGGGCATACTAATACAGGGCATGTTAAAGCTACTTATTTGCTTTGGGTAGATGGCGCTATGACGAATATTAGTAAGTTGATCTCCGTTTCAGCTGGTTTATAATCCGCTACTTAACCTTCGAAAAACCAGAAAGCTTATTACTTTCACCTTCCGTTCACTCGCGCTGTCACGAAAAGGGTTGTAGGTAAGGTGAGCCTACAAGTGGCGAAAAACAAATGGGATTAAGTATAGGAGTATTGGATAGCTAGCTACGCAAGAGACAAAGTATTCACACAGGGCTCAGTAGATTGTATAGTGAAAGCCTCAAATTGTTATTCCCTAAATCCTGCCATCGCTGTTCCTTTTTCGCTTGCGGGTTATATGGCCTAATACTTCATGCGTATACTTCTCATGTTCTTCTAAGAGACTCTTGAAATTTACTCTCAAGTACCTTAGCATAAGTTTTAGCGTTCTCAGATGCTCTCTGCTCGATTCTCCTTTCTCGAGGGTGTCAACTGCGCTCAATGATATCCCAAGCGACAAATCGCACTTTCGAAGGATCTCTTCCGAGAAGCTATAGTTAGAAGACATATTTTCTATGATCTGGGCACTCTCATCATCTATTTTGTCTACTCCATGGCCTGCAGTTACAAGGTCGTTCTCGTTTATAGGATCTTTATAGTCCTTATCGTCGGAATTATTTGTATTAAGACCCAAATTTGTGGGAATAAGGTTTTGCGACAAGTGAGACTTGTGCTCCGAGCCACCTGAAGTAACATGAGAGAGCGGTATTTGAGTGCTCGTTTGTTTCCTTTGAGCCTCCAGCTGTCTTGATAGTAGGTAAGCTAGATATTTCTAGTAATCGTTCTCCTAGAAATTTTAATTTATACAAAGATTAACTACTCCTTTGACATTCTCTCTTTGGTTTCAGGCGTAATCTCTACCATATCTACAGTTGTCTAAGTAGGTTTCTTTTAAATTAGTACATCTATATCTAGATTAGAGTTGTCTCTATCTTACATTGAAAGAGTTACTACCTGTCATGGCTTTATTCTCGTTTGCTTATTTTATTAAGTCAAGAAATGAGATAGATAAAGAGGCGGGGAATGTAGTAGTAATGGGTGTAAATGTAGCGGCTGTGAATATCGAGTTAAGCGCTCTTTATAACTTTTAAGTTCTTGATTTGATAGTGCCAAGTACACCCCGCTACGCTGATACCTTCGTGAATGCGCTGGTACCCCACTTACAGATAATGATTCTTTCTCGCTAAGCACCCTGATTATTCTGCACCTTGACCATTCTCCACCTTGGTCATTCTCCACCTTGGTCATTCTTCACCTTTGTCATTCTTCACCTTGGTCATTCTCCACTTGATTATTGACATGAGGGAGGCGGAATACATGGATAGGCAATTATTAAATGAGCAATTATCTCATGGGGTACTTCGTAAGGCATTTGAAAATATCATAATCTAAAAATGAATTCAACTTTCGCGCATCGCCACACATGCCTCTTCAACATTTCTACCCGTTATATCTGTTAATAGATATGGTGATATCCGTTATAAAGAGATAACGGGATGCTCATCGGGCATATAAGCAAGGGATTTTTCGGTAAATGGATACGACAATAGCTATTGCAAATTGTATACATATATCTTTTGTTCTTATAGAGCAAAGGCATGGAATTTCAGTCTTTTACTTTTGCCCTTAAATCAGCACTGCAACAGTATCCTTCCCGCTAGCAATTCATAACCCCTTCTAGTCGCCTATCTACTCATATATCGCAAATAAATCCGGCGCCTAGCATGTGTCTCCCTGATCAACATGATAGCGCTACAACACACGTAGCACCTGCTTTCTCCCTCTTTCCACGCCTTCCACCTGAAATCCAGGAGAAAATCTAGATATTAGCTCTCCTACCACGTCTTACTACAATAACCCCGAAACCCAACCGAGAGGATGCGACTTGCGAGTTTTAGGTAGAAACACAGCGGGTGGAGCTCATGTATATGTGTCAAGAGTCTCGTGCTAAGGTTTTAAAACACTATACGCATATCAGATTTAATGGTGTTAATAGCAGTACCGCCTTTATTAGTTGGTCCTGGGACACGGTTTTTTTGGACGTTCCTGACGAGTCCGTGAACGTGGATAATACTATAACCTTCCTTGGAGAAACATTTCGATCGGTACACACTCGAAATTCGGATGGGAACTCATGTCTCTTTAAAATTTCCGGAATGCCTGAGAAAAGCTAGTCATCTGTTGCACTGGATTTATAAACATCGCCCAACTCTCCTCATTATCTATTTCTATAATGACCTACAGTAATGATTTCTTTCCTAACTTATTATCATCTTAGAAGTCTAAAATTTTTCGATGACTAGGAGATGTTACTGAAAACCATCTTGTGGGTTAGGAATTTAAACGAGATTGAAGAGATATTGTTTATTACTCCTAGTCACCTAAAATGTAGACATTGATTAGTTGAGTGTCTGTAGTATGTGATTTTTCTCTACGTTCGTATAAACGTAATATACACGAGATTCCTATCATTCAACTGAGGGCCTAGTTTCCGTCGTTTCTCTCGGCCAGAAGGCACTATAATGATGGTCGCCTAATCACCCCTCATAGCCTCCCCCCCTTGCTACAATAATTCACCATCACAGTTTTAATAAAAGCCTATTAAAACAAGAGCAAGTTGCAAATATATTTAAATAACCAGATGAGAAGTAACGTTGCGACTTTTCACGTTTGCCTATTACTTAAAATGCAAAGGTTTCAGATCTTTGGGATCTTTACTATTTTAGTAACCGCTCCCACTTTCGCACAATCGAATTCTACAAACATGATTCTGCCTTTATGTGCTGTAAGCTAGCCTCTTAACCACTTCTTCTTCGTATACTAAGCAGTTAGGTTCAATGCGTGGTCGAATTAAATTCTTTTTTCCCTAAAATGCTAGCAAATAAATCACATATCTGCGCTGATCAACCGCTAAATGACAGTCTTGAGCTATGCGTAAGTGAAAATTGCGCAATCAGAGAGTCTCTTAGTATGTTTTTCAGTAATATTGTTTTTATTAGGAGATTTCTAATATATATAGAAACAAAAAACATGTTGTGCTGGATTTACATGTGTTAGGCTCCACTGTTTTGGGCTACATCATGTGACTTAGCGGCCCACTATTCTCCTGTATATAATGCCTACGTGGCCACTCCCAGTTCTATAATCAATCAATCACTTTTGTGTCATTCCCAGCCCAATAAAACATTACTGAAGAGATCTGTAATCGGCCACTACGAAATCGAACTAATACCATTTCTATGACCGCTATCGTGGGGTTTTCCCTTGCTTTATTAGCCACGGTGCTACGGCTTCTATCACGATTAAAAAGTCGACAACCTGGAATTGACGACTGGACTATGATAGCCGCTGTGAGAGGCCAGACCTCGAACAACTCAAAGGTGTGGGTTCAATATTCAATTAAGAACTACGTGGTCTGTAAATACATGTTCCTCCTCTACTCTTATACTAAATGTAGCATTTCCATTGCATTCAACACTGTTCCATAGTATTACCAATCTTCTGCGTCATAGCATTCTATCTTATTCCATGGCGTTCCAGAGGCGGGGTCGCTTAGCTTAGCGAGGGCTCTAGGCCCGAGCCCCACTATGGGTTCTAACCCTCACAGCCGCAATGGTATTAATGCCTACAGTCGGAAGATATACAGTATTACAAATAGCTCACCTAATATAGGGGTTTGTGATTCCACTTTCTGCTATCGCTATTGTTCGTAGGTTGAATATCATTGAGTTCCAAGTCAATATTCACTAATGTACAGGTTAGTTACAGGTCATGGGCTTGGAAAGGATATTTGGTCTATACCCTTTGAACGTATTACAGATATTCTATATGTAAGTTAACATCTAAAAATAGAGCGCAATTATTCTAAAAGTATATAGATTTACTACTTTGACGAGGTACTCTATCTCGGGAGTCTAATGATGATACGACTGTCGATGTTATGCCTTTATCTTCGACTATTTCCTCAGAAAGGATTTAAGAGAATAATATATGCTATTATAGCAGTAAATATTCTTTATAGTATAGCTTTCATTACGGCCTCGGTATTTCAATGTATTCCGATCCAAGCGGCCTGGACAAGATGGGATGGCATAGTTCCGGCTAAATGCATTAATGCAAATGCGGTCGGATGGTCAAGTGCTATTATTAACATTGTGTTACACGCTATTATTATCATCCTTCCATTACCCAAGTTAATGAGACTTCTCATGTCATGGGAACAAAATATTCAGATCTTAATTATGTGTGGCCTCGGATCTCTGTAAGCATTTAAATATTATACTTCTGTTATGGTGGGGATCAAGGAATAGATTGTTCGCAAGGAGGGAAGAGAGACGCTCTTCGCACTCCTTAGGTATTTGTCTATCTACGGAAGGGTACACCCGCAACTTCGCTAAGCGAACCCTTATTCACTAAATCAAAAACTGTCACAACGACACTGCTAGTCTTCCATGGTTGGCTGGCATGCTTGGGTTTGAAGTACGCCATCCCAGTCCAGGGTAGAGTCACTGATAACGAGTGCAATACTGCCTAAGAAGATAAGCTCTTCCTTTGAACATATCGGAATTCGTGGAAGAACCAAACTCTGTTTTCTTTCCGAAAGATGAAAGCCTCGTAGAAAACAATCCTCAAGAAACTCTTGTACTTCTACTTTCCGGTCATCCTCCATATCGCATGTAATGATCAGTACTCTTGGAGAAAGGGGTTCCATTATTAATGTCGCTGCCCAAGGTACCCAGTATTTCTCTTCTCCCCACCACGAAAGTTGCAACTCCATAGCAAGAATGATTCCTGTCGCTAAAGGGTGTTGTTCAAGGTGCAATTCTTCCCAGCATAGCTGGCTAGCCCTAGAATATCATAGGATGTGTTAAAAAACAACCTGCTACTAACTAGGACCCTGATAGATGCAAATCGATAACCTATTTCCTACAATATTCCGAGATTGGTGGCAAACACGTTGAATATTTATAACGTCACTAGCGTATTGTTGTAAAGATTTGTCCGTGAATTTAGCAAGACCTGAAAGATCGTGGATTCGTAGACCGGGTATTGCCATTCTCCATATCATGGTTTGTACGTGAGGAGATAAACGAGAAAATTGGGGAACGACATTTAGCCGGTGAAGATGATATAAGATTCTTTATGTAGAAGAAGAGTTGCTCATGAGGGAGGTTTCTTAGATAGATAAATGATTTTATCATTTCCAGAACCATGGATAATATCTATGGTCGGGAATTGACGGGAGGCCGCGTAGTGGAATATTCTGTTTACTTTAAACACACATGTTCACCTAGGAAATATTGTCGAATCATCTACTGCTGGAAGAAATCGATCCACTCTTTGACCTAGGAATATGTGGGGGCCTGGGCTTGGGAAGGATTGTGCAGAATGGCGATGGAAAATCCTCGGCCAAGCTTTGTCTCGGAAACACCCTTGAAGTAAGTCATCTTAGCTTTAGTCTTAGCGTCCGTCTTAGCGTCCGTCTTAGCGTCCGTCTTAGCGCCTGTCTTAGCTCTGTCTTACTTGTTATAACATACTCTATTTGAGAATCATCCTTGAAGTGAATCGAGGATGCGGAATTGTCTACACCAAGAGTAACTTAACGTGAAAAGGGTAATCAGGGTGGAGAAGGCATAAAAGCGGTATAGTAAATTTGTTGAAGCTTAAAATGTACAGAGGAACAGCATAAAAGCACTCTTTACTAAACTACTATAGGTAGCCCTATTCGCGATCTTACAAACCTTTCTCATAACAGCTTGAATAGGGTGTTTGATCAAATCTGCTGGAAGGGAAAGTATAGCGGGGCGGCTAATGTGGTTGTCTATTTTGCCCCTCGTTTCTTTCCACATAACTGCTAAGCGCCGACAAGGGTTTGAGGCTGACCTGAACCGAGCTGTTGGGTCGGCCTTCGCATCCCACAAGGAACAAGCGCAGAATATTAGTCGCCGAGTTCAGGTGCCGAAATCCACAGTACGTTCCCCACTTCGCTCTCGAGATTTACGTGCTCACAGTTCGCTCCACTTTTTAACATATCACCTCTTGATATTCAAGCCACTCAGTCCCCGTCAACCCATATCCTTTGGTAATGCAACTATCCAGTTCTCGATACGCTTCACCCTTCTCACAAATTCTGCCATTTTAATATTTTCCCAGGACAGATGATCAGTTTCCAACAGTTTATAAATTAAGGCCATCAACGCCAACTATTGTGCGGCTATGTTAGACGGAAAAACTACTTCACGACAGATGGAACATCCAAGAAGCAAAAGTCAAACAAACTTGGAGGAATTCAATAACAGCTAGGCGGCTTTACGAGAATACTACCAGCGGAACGGGCGACCACGTGGCCATAGATCTATCAACACAATGATAGAAGACGACTTTGCAAGACCTCACGGGAATATCAATACTAATACCCGATCCACCGCAGTGAACGACAGCCCATCGATAGTACAGTAAAGTTTCCTACCAACAGATTCAACCGTATCACGAAATTCCTCCTTTTATGAACCTTACTATGCGCTGCTAGCGGGTAACCCCTTGGAGGATTCTTGCAGCTGCTTGCTGCGAACCTTATGTTTCCAGAGTGAAGGAGCATACTGGTGTGGATGTGGACTTAGAGATTACGCAAGCCACTGTTAATGAGTCGACTGATGAGTTTTACCTTGAAAATACTGCCTAGACAATACTAACGGCACCACAGATACTCCGCAAGACATTGATATGCCGAGCCACATAGCAGATACCCTTAGTTCAACTAGAATTTGAAGATACAAATAGCTTTGTCGATGAGCCTATCAATAACTATCGTGTTCAAACCGACGCTACTGCAAATGAAAGAGTCAAGAGGTTGGTGCTTAAAAGATTTCGCGGATTTCAGGAGAAACATATCCAGGAAGTTATATCAATTGTGTTACCGGTGTTGAGTCAAATCCATGTCAGGAGTTGGTCGGAAGATCTAACTCACAGTAGAGAGCTTTCGATTCTTGAGCGAGTCATTAAGGAGACGTTTATAACAGAGGGTTGCATAGGGCAACTAAAGCGACTCCTAGAGTAAGAAAAACAATACCGGACAGAATTAATTGTTCAGTTTAGTATCTAGTTTAGCAAAGTAGAGTCTTTCTTAGCCTTGCAGCATCTCCCATTACTTGCATACCTTTTTAATAACACTGTACCACCAAGTCCATGCATGCATTTTTATCTCCGGTTGTCTATATAGACCTCGCCTCAGTAAATATCGAAAGTCTGTTGTCACTACATATTTTGATAGGCTTTCACGTGACTAGTCTACATTAATGAGAGTTTGCTTCAGAGTCTCCATCTCGACTCTACTTATCTCTAGGAGACAACAACAAGAACAGAAACTCCTTTACAACGAAGATGAACGCAACTTATTAACTGTGCCATTCTCAGGTGAAATATTTGCAAACGCATATAGCACGTGCGACAACTTGTCTACCGGAAGAGCTTGAGGATAGAATTTTCTGTCATAAATGGCCCTATCATTGTTAGTAAGCATTATAAGGAGGATGAAGGATGTGCATTGCCAGTTAACATAATATGCTACGGACCGATATGTATCAAAATTGCTGGCAGTAGCATACTCAAAAGATGACGCGGATAGAACCGATATAAGATAGATTGAATTAAACATTTTTTACATGATTAAGAGAGCGTAAGTATGGGGTCGGTTGAGAGAGGAAGCTTTCCTGTCCATTATATAGCCGGAAGATATTTACCGAGGTCATCACCTACCACTTCCTGCTGGCTAGACACCTAGTTATTGCGACACCACTTCTACAACTTTGTCGCTAGCAAATAAAGATTAATAGTAAAGTACTTAATTACCCTGTATTGTTTTTAAAAGCTATTGTAAATTGCAATGAATAAGAAGATACTTTTATTAGAGAGTCATTAATCTATAATAGCCGCATGTAGTAGTCTCAAATTTTTGGGGCCCTTAAAATTCTCACAATAATATTCACTATTTATGAAGGAGTGGAATGCTAAGTCAAGAAAGCACTACTAGAGAGAAGTTGCCCTTGGTGAACACAACTCACTTGCCAATTACGTGGCGATGTGACTTTGAATTGGAGTGAGTGGTACGAGAGACTAAACAAGTAAGTAAGTACTCAGACCAAGAGGTATAAATGTTATAACTTAGTAACAACTTTCAGATATCCGAGATAACTATCCTAGATAGACCGTTGACTCCAGTTTTTTGTTCTACCTCGTCAACAAGTTTCACAGTACAGTCCATCATCCTTCTATACGTTTTACTAGCTTTCCCCAAATCATCCATCACTTCATAGTGGTCCCTGATAACCACCTCCAGTTTGTTTGTTACCCTCTCAGTCAACATCTCGGCTAACATTTCACGCTCCCTGAGTCATGTTAGGCAGGTCAATAATCTAGGGAAAGCTGAAGAATACCTCTTCTCTTCCTTAAAGCTGCCACTTATTAGCAACTGTCACCAACAGAGATAGACCGACTTACTGGTCGTCTATTTTCTTTTGAATGTCTTGAAAACTATAATTTATTAGCGACTGTTGCTAGCAAAGATAAATTAGCTTACCGATCCTCCATTTTCTGTTCAATGTCTTGACTGAAATTCCCACATTCGGGAGGATTTACGCTATTCCCAACATTCATGTCCCCTTCCGAAATAGTCGTATTCCCAAGTGCCGGGTTGGATACGAGAGCTTGAGGGTTTAAGCTCATGGCCGTTTGATCGATACCTGAATTAGAGTTCCAATCCATGAAAGATGAGTCCCAGCCCGCTGTGTCAAAAAACGGTAAATCATATCGTCCTTGCATTTGCTCTTGGGTTGTAAAAGGCGAGAGCAAAGAATTACCTAATGTTGCGGAATTCGTAGGGTCTGCCATCGTAGCTCGATGAGGTCAAGGAAATACGACTTTTCAAGTGGCGGGGCCAGATATATGTTCTTGTGTTTGTTTTGAAAGCGGGGGTTAACGTGACCAGTGGTGCTTTTTAAGCCCTTCTATCCACACCTTTTCCCACTATGACGGACAGGGGTCTTTCTCAGCCCTGTAGCATCCACTTTACTCGCAAACCATTTTGGACACATTACCCCACCGAGTCTATGCAGGCATTTTTGTCTCCGGATGCCTATATAGACCTCACATCGGTGATGATAAAAAGGTTATGATTGAAAATGGTCATCCAGTGGGTCATCTAGGTCTCGCTCTCAGTCTTAGTCTGTTGGTGAACCAACGCTAAGCCTGGGTAGAACGAGTCATGAGCGTAGCATGTTTTACAAACAACGGTTAATCATTCCTTCATAAAGGGACTCTCAGTTCACTTCCTTATCATCAATCATCAATCTTCTCTAATTCTCATGATCAATAGTCTGACGAACAAGTCATCAACTCAATTCTAAATTAGTCATGTCTACAAATCGGCTTCCCTGGAGTCCAGAGGAAAAGTCGCTATTCAATCGCATTCGTGCTGAGATACCACGGGCCTCAGCTCCTGTACTCACAGAAGTTTACAACCAAAGAAATAATCGGAAGGACCGGGTTCATACTGTCAATGCCGTGAGGGGTATGCTCATATATCATAAGCTGCCTTCGAGAGATACGTCGTCAATATCTAGGGGCCGTCCACGAACTAGAACTGGAATAGAAGGTGAGTGATCTTCTCTTCCCCAATCTTACAAGCTGACCACAGAGCAAGTTATTGAGGCTGTAGTACCAGCAACCATGAATGAACATCTTCCCTTGAAATATGACCATTGTTCTTTAGATGTAAGCAGTTCTAATCCTATCTTTCTGTTAGACGCTAAAGTCTAGCAGACTCAATCCGGTGTGCTTAAACGAGGGGTCTCTCTCCCCCTTCATCCTCTGATCGCAGACGCTCGGCGGCATACGCTATGTTCTAAGACAATTGGATTTGATGATGATCCATTCCCGGAAACTGTATGGCCCTTCACCATTACGGATGAAGAAATTTGGGCACTGGAGTGTACAGAACAGGACAAAGTTGCCCTGAAACAGTATTTTGACTTTTTCAAGGTAGACAGACCATCGGTCGCGGGAACGTGGAATGTATGTAGAAAAGATAGATGATATTTAATTACATATCTCCAACGCCTTATAACGTGCATGTATAGCGAATGATACATCCGAGCGCCCAAACGCGACTACACTAAGTGCTCTACTTGCCCTGACTCGAGAGATCCAGCAGTACAGCATGCAATCATTAGTAATGGTTTTTATGATACTACAAGTGCCAATGTATCCATGTCAGGATTCGAGCAAGTCTCTTTCCCCAGTCCCGGACTGACAGAGTCTTATCCTATTGAATTAGTGGGCAAGGAAAACCCATTCAAGGGAGATCTGGATATTTTAGCAACCGCAGAATTTCTGAGAAATAACAGTTCACGAGTGCAGATCATTCTCCTCACAATCACTAACAATTGGGCCGCTGCTCAACCCGTGTCAATGGCTAATGTCAAAGCAACGTCGGAGTTGGCGAGAGAATACTGCATTCCACTCTTTTCCGACGCATGCCGCTTCGCAGAAAATGCCAAATTTGTCCAGGATTTTGAAGCAGGCTACAATACATATACGATTCCTGAGATTATGCATGAAATGTTCTCTTGCGCCGACGGGTTTACCATTTCACTTAAAAAGGACGGACTTGCAAACGTAAGCAACCCTCCTCAAATTCCTTCCTTCGGGGTTTCCTGTCTCTCGTTATGCTCTTCGAATATAAAGAGAGAAAGAAGATCTCTGATTTGTTATAGATGGGTGGAGCGCTCTGTTTCAGAGACCAAGGAATCTTCGCTACTAAGTTTCCGACCGTGGGAATGAAGCTGAAAGAGCGCCAAATTGTTTGTTACGGAAATGACTCCTACCGAGGAATGAGCGGACGGGATATGATGGCCGCAACAGTAGGTCTTTATGAAGTGACTAAGGAATCCTACCTGGCAAGTCGAGTTGGACAGGTGAAGAGATTTGCCGAGAAGCTGTTGGGCTGAAGAGTGTGGTGTACTGAAGGTCATGGAGAATTGATTGATTGTTTGAGAAGCTATTATACAGAGTATTTATAAGGGAAGGAAAAAGGGCAAGATGAGAAAGAAAGGGGTAAATGAGAGGTGGAGCCGTATCTCAATACGGACGCTGTACAAATAATAATACAATAATGAATAAGTGGATTCCACATCAGGTGATATGGTGGATCCAGCACAACAGAAGCTTATTAGGCAAAATATCCCGATAATATTGCCACCCGGTGGCCATGCGGTCTATCTTGATATGGACAAGTTCTTTGATGGTTGTGGGAGGTCTTACGATGATTTTGCCGGGCTCGGTTTCACAAATGAGCTGCTCGCTAATTATGGTATTCGCTCGGTAGAGATGGGTCCATTTTGTGTACGTAGACTTTGGAAAAAAGCTCAAGGAATGTTCCCTAACAATTACTAAAGTGGGAGTGGGACTTGAAAAGTGAACTCGAGAGGCAAGGGATACATAACCTTGTTCGCTTCGCAGTTCCGCGTAATGTCATGAATGAAAATCACTTCGATTATACAGTGGCAGCTATTTCTCAGCTCTATAAGAAACGCCACTTCATACCAGGGGTATGTACATTATAGTTTTCAACCTTACTTCTGTCTATACCGGACTAATAAGTATACAGATGAGAATTGTGAGAGGCAAAAACCTCCGAATTAGACACTTTTCGTGTAAATTGGAAACCGTACCAGTGATTACTTCCAATGGAAGCCTCACAAAAAATGGTTTGCAAAATGGAAACTCCTACGATGACCTTGAAACAAAGTCAGAAGAGAATTAGGAACTGGCTAGGACTAAATATAATACACTCTACTAGCAACTCTACAAACTTTCTGGGTACAAAGGAGACAACTATTTTTCTGTTCTTGTCAGACGGCAGTCACGTGGTGTCTGGGTTAGGAATAGCTTCTTACTTTATGTATAAGTACTCGAGGACATCCTCCTCATTACACTCTCTTAGACAGACAAAACATAATCACTCTTTAGATGACAATACATTTGCACAACTCAGTTCAACAATTTTGAGTCCGGCACTCTTCTAAACCGCGCAAATATACAACTCTATCTTTATTTCTCTCCGTACGAATAATTGGTAAATAAGTCCAAATTACCATACGAAATTAACCAAAAATCATTTCAAAAACTGTCGGTATATAATTCTGGTGAATAGCACCTTGTACGAGAGCCTGGTAGATCTACATGCTTCAGGTCATGTGAGTGGCTTGCCACTCACATACTTAAGCTTACAGGACACCACCTCTCTTTAGCTTTACTCTTCATACACGAATGAATACAAACAGAGATTATGTTTGTGTATCACCTTTTACGACTACCAGGTCGTACCAACAAACACATTCTACTATGTCCGCACTAAAAACCACGGTTGTCATCCTCAACGGAACAAACGACCGGGACGAATGGCTTGAGCAGTTAGAGAAATGATATTCGCAGGGCAGATTGTGTTGCTGGTTGTTTTATTATTGGGAAGCAAGCTCTTGATGTGCCCTATTGGGTTGATCGATTGATTGCTGAAGGGCTGGGACGGCTCCGGGCAGAAGTGGCAGGACCTGCTCGTGTATGAGTGTCCCAGGAAACAGGCCATGGGTGTAATGACCATCTTTGTGGTGGAAAAGAACCATGTCTCCTGGTCAGCTAATGATAAATTTAGTTCTGTTGCCAATGTATACGGCGTGTCTTACCTGAAGATCTTAGAGGACTAGATTTCTAACAAGGCTAGGATGATGAAGCTGAAAAAAGATGTAGTGACTCCCTTATGCAGAGGGTTGATCATTGCACGAGCTCGCTTAAGTATGATTACCCCGCTTAAATATGGTCATCACAAATATGATCATCGCCACCCCGCTTATATATGATCATTGCCTTCACTTAAATATGATCATCTTCATACTGCTTATATATGTTCTTGGGATGGGCTCTTAATTGTAATAACTTTTCAATGCTAAAACTACATATAATCTCAGTTATCTAGTACTCAACTTTCAAAACAATCGTCCTATAATGGCTCCTAACACTATCGCAAAAATTCCAAACGAAATTCGATCGCACCTCCCTCATCTATCAAAACGTATAGTGAGTAGAGCTTGGCGGGTCGAGAAGGGAAGGGCCGACTCTCTATTTCAAGTTGAACCCTAAACTTGGAGATAACCTTCGTGGTATAACACGAAATCATTCAAATAGCAGGTTACTTTAAAAGAGCTAGAATTTCAGCCAGAGTAGAAAGGAAAGGACACTCTCCAGGATATGGTTTGGTACAATCGTAGACTGAAGAGGAGTAAGAGAGGTCTCGAGTTGTACCGTGTAAGGCAAGAACAGAATTGGATGGAAGTAATTGAGGAGGAGGAATTAAAAAGAAAGAGCGAAGCTATATGTCGAGATTGTATCATACGAGTTTTAAGATTACTCAAGTAATACAAAATAAATTAACTGAAATCTGAAATAGCAAATAGACTAATGATTGTTTCTGAGAACTCGTAAGCTAGATAGAGTATTAAATATAACTAACGTCCGTCCCTGCGTAGCAAGACGCACCCTGTCACGAGACAAGTTTACAGTTTTGGAACGATAAATCTTTTCTTGGCAAGTCTACGAAGTTGTTATTAATATACCACTTTCTTTAACTATTTCCCTCTATGGAGGCCACTAAGCAATTAAGAAAAGACTATGGTTAATGTTATGCTGGGATCGCTTTCTTATGTCTATCTACTTTCTGATCCACTTCCTTATTACTCTACTTATAGCTTGTCTGCCTAAAATGTTTCCTGTTGTCTAAACACTCCATGTCTGCCTAAATCCTTCTACACTTTCTATATAAACACCTTAGAAAACTTCCTATTACAATCGAATCAATTCTCTATAACCTTCAGCACCCAATACCCTCGAAACCCAATAGTTAATTATGCTGTTGATTGTTTTAATCACGCCATTGATCACCGCTTCGGCTCAAACTCCGCAATGATGTTCTCGAATTAAGTTTTGCCCATACAGCCATTGTATTCGCAATCAGTTTTATCCAAAGCATCTACGAGTGATGCAGCAGGTGTATTGGACGTCGCTGTCGCCTCTTTCACAGCACTGCGATTTTTACAAGCTAGTAGCGTCAATTCTAGACCAGGCCAGGTCAGACCAGGCCTTTCAAGAGCAGCCGGTAGAGATCCCTCTTTTGAAAACGTGTGGCAAACAGTGCCTTATAGAAAGAGCTGCCATACGTGATTCTTCGTTTCAGGTGGACGGGTTCGGTGCAGCTGCTTTCACTGTCACCCAGGACGTCACTTACCACGCCCGGGACCAGTCTGTTGATGCCGACCGAGAGCTTCGAACCCGCCAGACTGCACAACTCGTGGACAGTTGGTCAACGAACCTCAGCATATGCCCACAGTTGCTCTCGGAGATTGAATCATGGGCGAAGCCAATCTGCGGTCCTGGCCATGTTGAACTAACGTTGGGGTTTGACCTTAGATGGTTGAAAAGGCCTGTCAAGTTTCTTCCACGGTACTGGTGTACCCTCCAAGATCTGCTATCCCAGAGCGTGGTTAGCACAGACAAGTACAAGGTCATGATGCTCTTATCTACTTTCTTGTATTCTCTCTACGCTAAGCGGGAGCTTATCCTAACCCTCCTTGCTTTTGCAACCTCCCCCGAATTGCGAATGCTTCAGGCTCCACGCTCTCTAACCTTTCAGCTTGCCGACGGGTACAGACCGGTACAAGAGAGGCTAGCCTGTCTTGCAAAAAAACACTTGCGCACAGAGAGGCCTAGCCGCAAGCTCGACTTTCCAGAGGCTGGCCCATACAAGATTATCCAGCAAGTAGGCAACGCTTTCAAGCTTCAACTACCTGATTCAATGAAAATCCATCCAGTCTTCTCCCCTGATAGATTGCGTAAGGCTTCCCAGAATCCTTTACCAGGCCAAAGTAATCCAGAGCCACCGCCTGTCAACATTACAGGCGACGATGAGTGGGAAATTCAAGAGATCCTTGCAAGTAAAGGACGGCAACACCTCTACTACCGTGTTAAATGGCTAAACCAAGACGAAGACCTAGAGTGGTACCCGGCGTCTGACTGTAAATACGCCCCTCACAAAGTAAGAGACTTCCACCTAGCTAACCCAACTCGGCCTGGCCCGCCAGCTCGCTTATATGACTGGTTAAATGCTTGGGAAGGTGGAAGAGATGATTATGATGATTTAGATGGTAACTTAATTATGAATACTCGGTCGAGGACGACCTTCTTTAAGAGAGGGGGTACAATGTAACCGTGTGGAGTGAACCACTGCTTGCTGTGATGAATACGGAGTCAAAACGGAAACTGCTGTATTGAGCGAACAACAAAGTGAGGAGAGAAGAGAGTTCCAGAGGAACGGAAGCTTAAATACAGGATGCCAGCAGCGCGCACGTGATACGTGCTACATGTTGCGCTACACGTGATCAACCCCCAGTTCCTCCAACTCCGTAACACTACTTTTATTACACTCACCCAGATAGCATTTCTTGAGCTCAATTTGGGAGCTATCTATATAATTCTTTTTTTAAAATACTCTATAAAGCTAGGGCTATAGTCTTCGCTATTAAGCTGTATACACTTAGGGCTGGTTGCTGTGCTATATAGTTACAAGAATTGCGGCTGAAAATAATGTGGGGTGGGAATCCGGGGTAAAAAGCTTAAATTTAACATGCTTGGCAATAAGAATATTACACCATATATTACGATATACGCTTTAATCGCTAGGCATGCCAACCATATACAAATAATACAGTGTTTCAGTGTAAAATCTACTTAGTGAGTGCCAATAGTGTATAAATTAATTATTGTAACCCCACTTTATTGCCATACCATTAGTACGTGCACACTACTGACAACGCTGAATGCCACCTTGAACGGAGAGCTAGTTTCTGCATCTACGATACTAGAACGTACAAACGCCGACTTCACATTAATCCTGGCACGTCGTCTGAGAAAGTATAGCAAAGACTAAAAAAGCAGACTAGGGGCCTTTAGAGGGCCAAAATTAACCTATGTTCTTTATCACAGGAAAACAAGGAAAAGGCAGATAATCTCGATTCCTATATTTGGTAAAGGGTCCCCTAGTTTGATATTCGCAAGACCTTACATTACGGGTCGTACTCGTTGGTGCCTGGGAAGGATGTGGGCAACACAGGAGATGGCTAGAGTGGTTGGAGGAGGGCTGGTTAAGCTAGCATATTGTGAGGGTTGGAACCCATGATGGAGGCTCGGGCCATGCCCTCGCTAAGCACTGACCAAAGTCCCCGCTTAGCACTGGCCATTACCCCACCGCCAAACAGGTTTCCACCATTCCACACTTTCTTGTTTTGTTCTTCTGACATCATGTATTCGTCATTCAAGTTTCTTGCAAGTTTCTTGGAATATTCAGGAAGCTCTTCCTCTCTCTATATATAGAGGAAGAGCTCGCATGTATGTAGTCTTCACGCACTTCTTAATTCAATATTCGAAACCACACCTTTGAGCTGTTCAAGGTCTGGCCTCTCACACATATGGTGGGGCGTCTCAAAATAACACGCTTTCCTGTGTAGTGGAATATTCCTCGCGGTCTTCACCGCAATGGTTTCCTCTTACGGTAATTTCTTTGAGAATACTTGCTTAATGGGAAACGTTTTCCCAGATCCGCTAAAGACCAACTGTATAGCATGTCGATTTTCACTGTAGGAGCTTCCTCTTACGGCAATCGCCTTAAGCATGATTGCTTTATTGGGAAGTCTTCTCGGGTCTGCCGAATACTAACTTTATAGTATGACGATGTATAGCCCATCCAGACGGCCCGATTCGCCTTTGGACAATACACGCTAGATGCTCGACCTGGAAATACGAGGTGGGCCTCTCAAGATGGAGTTCACCTAGCCCCATCAGCGGTTCCAAGACTCTCCTGCCGGTCGAGACACGAAGCTGTGATTAGCCAATACTACAACTCAGCTATGCTAAGATTTTGTTGGGTGTCTGGGTAGTGGCGCGGCTCGTCACTTGGAAGCTGGAGCGAGAGCAAAGATGGCAGATGTAAACTGTAGGACAAGTATATAAGAAGCCTTTGTCTCCTCTAATGTGTTTTCTGCATCCAATTGTCAGATTTCAGAAGCACTCTAACTGTACCTACTCTAGGCTCAAGATGGCTACCTTCATTCCTTACGTTCCAAAACTACCAAACGCTAACAACCGGAAGCCATCCAAGATTATTTCTAAGAAACGCAACCCTCCTGAAAATTACTTGCAGATCGAATCAAGTGATGTGCCAGTTGAATTGCTGTAGGCGCCTAGAGGAGCAACAAGCGAAAAGAACCGGCAAGGCACAGCTGCTGGTGAGGGCATAGCTCAGGGTGCTCAAGGTATGTGTTCAATCCCACAAAACTACTGTCGCTGTCTCTGTCTGACAAAATATCAGACTTGATATCGGCAAAAGAAGGACTGGGTGTAAAGAGTAATGATCAATCTTCGGATGATATTATCTCTAGCCAGGAATCGAAAGCTGGTAGCGGCCATGGTACGTACTACGTGAGCTGGGTTTCACAAACGTAGTGCAGAGAATTCTTATTCACAGTACTACAGATAAATCGAGCACACCGGATAACAATGGTGTTCTCGATGTTGGAAACACTCGTCGTATTCTACATAGCAGGCCGCCTAGTAACCAGGTATTAAAACCGGAAGGCCCGCAACTACTTTCCAATCACATAGCCGAGGAGCATGCCAATACTACCGATGTCATCGATAACAACAAGGTCCCGTGGGTTTCTAAACGAAAGGGATCTGACTCTCCCCTCTCCGACGGAATAGCCTCATACTACGATAGAAAGCGACAACGGCGTTCTCCTTCTTTAATTCTAGAGAATGAAAAGGACGACGGGGCTTTTCGCATTCATGTTGACGGAGACTTTTGTAGTACTACTAGAACCACTCCTGCACTTGAACCGGCTCATCTAACAGAGTATAACGTATGCCCAGAGGTGATTGACGACAACCAAGATTGGGAGGTCCGCCAAATCATTGGCAAAGAGGATGTTGATGGTGTAACACATTACTTGGTGGACTGGAACCCGACACTACTTCCTGAGCACTCGCTAGGACATGCAAAGGAGCTAGTGGATAAATTTGAGCACCGCCTTCGAGCACAGCGCAAGACTAAGAATGGGCCATGGGGGGCTAGCTTGAAGCGAAAAGGGAGGGGGGCGACTAGAAATGCTAATGGCCAACACAAGAAACCAGGATGCCAGCCCCAGAAGCAGGAGTAAGTGTAAAGTCAGTTAGGATGGTCAAGTATCTCTGTTACAGAGCAGATTTGAAAAGAAATATAGGCGGTTATATCTAATGTTTTACCCTCTTGCCTATAATTTTAGTTTCGTGAGATTTTGGTAGTAGATATTTTAGCTTAGTTTATGAAATTTTACTATTTGGGGAAGTTTACAATTATAATTCTATATCGAATTGCATTTTCCCCACAAAGCTAGAGCACAATCCTAACATCAAGATGAGCTACTTATACAGCATTTATATAAACATGTCATGTTCGTGAAGGGAGAACTAGTGGACAGGCTTCGAGGTATTTGCTGAGATTTGTTAGTCAAGGGTACTCTGCTTCGGCTACTTTGCGTTGTCTCTGTTCTACTTCTCGTCTGAATTCGACCATTTAAACCAAGTTCTCACTTTCAATATCCGCCGCCCCTGCATTCACAGTAGTGACCTGTCAAGGGATAAAATTAAGCGACTTTCATACTTTTATCTTTTTACACGAGCGTAGAAGGGTGCTTGTCTCCTAGCACCGTCATCCTTGAATCAACTACCATCTTGTGAACATGCTCCGCTGCCTCATACTGCTCGATACTTGTTTATCATTGGCCTATTATATCCAAAAGCTCATTTTCCATGGCATATGTGGTACCTTTGTCACGAGCTCACAGGCACGTGACTATACGAGCTGGATAAAGATGGTAGTTTTTGTAGCTTAGATCTCCAGGCAGTTTACACTCTAATCCAACGCTCTTGGCTTGCAGCCAGTCCACCCTGAGTTAAAATAGTATCTGCGAAATTCGATCAGTTATCGAACCCTTAAACTCCGACCTTCTATTCTGTACATCCTATCAAAGGCACATCTTACTAACCTCTGCCTATCGCAAGAAACAATCAATTTATATATCAATATAGATGTGCGTTATTATAACCCAAATCTACCCATGTAGGCACCGTGGCGAGCCTAGGAGAAATAGTTCTGGTTGTCCTAATCCAGATACTTGTCTGCCAGCCCACCGCACCGTCGATGTTACATCATGGTGTAGACGCCATGAATGCCTCACTCCACCTTCCACCTAATATTTTGCCCGGAAAAGAAGGTATGTACACTACTATCACACCTAGAAGTGCTCACACTGTTTACAGCCTTCGCCCGACAATGGTCTCACGGGTCGAAACCCCGAAGCTTTAGGCTTAACACTTGGTGGCTATCACCGATTCTGCAGATGACAATATGGAGGTGGGGAGTAGGCGTGGGTTTCTTGCGGAAGTAAAAATACACACTTGATTCTGATTCTAGCAAAACAGTTATTTTGGTGTGAGAACGTGGTTTAAAACGGTGCTTTTTGGACCCAACTATAAAATAAAACCGCTGTTTTGCTCTTCACCCAATCAGAACCATGGACTCCTGTGCTGTTGCCTAGTTTCTCGTCACGTGTATGAGCTTCTTGACACTAAACAACCTTGTCCTTCCCATGTCCTACAAATACCTCCTTTGCTCAAATACTCCGTCTAGGCCCAACCCTGCCATCAACCCCCCCAATTTTTATGTTCACAATGGCCCCCCTTGCCATTGCAGGTTGTGGCAAGTTTCCGCACCATCCCCACCACCCTCCCTGTAACGAATACTCAAACTGGCTAACTAAACTTGGCTGGGTGTTCGCTGGTTGGTATGCTATGATAAGAAGAAGACTATCGGGTTGTTCACTTGGAAGTGAACTCGTTACTTGTATCAAAGATGTCAAACTAATATGATAAGATTGATAACTAAGTTGAGCACGAAGCTCCTATCTAATGGCAGACGTGCCAGTCTTATATAGATCCTTCGTTCTCCTTAAGTCACAAAGTCGACAACGACTTTGTCGCCCTGTATATATCACGTGACCCTCTACATGTGAAATCCTTGGATCGCTTAGCTACTCTAAGCATCCCTATTTGCTATAACTATCCTGATGTGCCTGTCCTGTGGGAACGCCGTCTGGACTAACTCATCACATGACGCGGGGCATGCCCTTTAACACGTGATTCGTGACATTAGACATAATAACTATACTTAAAAGAACCTTACTAGAACTCTTACGCTTTATAAAATAAAAGTAACTAAAAGTAGTTTTATTAATACCTATACTATATTAAGTAGATATCCTATAGAGATAGTAATAATCCTCTTATAGGGTATAGAGTATAATAGGTAGAAGGTAGGTTAAAGAGCATATATTAGACTAAAGAGGAAAGAAGTCGCGGCTTATACTCAGGCGATATATAGCTAACGCTAGCTTATATAGCACTAGTCCTAATCTAGACTTAGTACGCCTAGACTCTAGTTACTATATATATAATTTCATTAATACTCTCTCTTAAGGTAACTTAAGTATAGCTAATTAACCTTATAATTTTATATACTTCTAATACTACTAGGTTAATCCTATTTATTCTTTAAATCTTTTAAAGTTTACTTACTATAGTAGTTTTATTATACTATTAGTAATTATATTATTAGTTAGAATAAACTCTACTTATACTCTCTTTTATTTAGCTAAGTCTTAGATAAGGTAATAGTATATATTAATATACTGAGATCTCTTATTTAGGTAGGTATTCTTTATTAGTACGATTATACCTTAATTATTTCTATAAGTTATATTTATATAAGATATAGATTCTTACTAATACATTTTCTAACTCCTAGCGCTTATAGAATCTAAATAATCTATTAGCTCTGCTTTATATAGGATACTAATATAATATATTCCAATTTATAGCTTAATATTAAAACTAACTTCTACTTCTTACTTAACTATAATATTAGACTACTATAAAATATAATAATACTCCTAGATATACTTTTCTAGTTGTCTTTATTAATAGCCTAGTTTCCATTGAAGTTTGGTTGCTGGTGGAGGGGGGTAATTGTGCCTCGAGTTTATCTGGGACGTTCTTGCCGCTTTTGCCTTTCTTTTGATGCTTTGTTTTTAGTCCGCGAAATTTGGATCTGATTTCGTCGAGCATATCCCGTTGAATGAGTTGCATATGCAAAACTAGACTGCTCTTCTTCTTCTCGATGATCTCAAATGGTTCGAGAATATGTTGCTTTTCGGTAAAAAAGACCAGAACTTGGAGTATATGAGGTCGCGTTAACAAGGCTTGCAGGTTTGTAATTTTGCGTATTGTATCAAGGATCGAGGTGACAAGGCTGCAAATATGAGGCGTTTGGAAGGTCTTCTTTTCGATGATCGACTCTGACAATCTCTTGAGCTCCTCCAGCAGATCTTGATATTGGAGTAGGGTAGATGAAATTGTTGAAATGCTATTTACAAGTTTCAGGATTCTGATACAATAATCCGCAAGCTGGAAGGAAGAAGCAATTATTCCCAAGACTTCGGCCATGTCACTCCGCACTCCTTTCAGTGGAATTGTAGGATCAATCTTTTGGGGGCATGAGACCACCCTAAGTGATCTTTAGGATGTCTTAGTGGTTCTATTATAAGAGATGCGATTGGTTGACGTGGCGGAGCAAGACCATCCGTGATATGACTGCAGCACTGCAAGTAGGCTGTGGGAAATGGCGTTGTTGAAGAAGTTTGAAGAGGTCGACTTTTCTATAGACACCTGTGGGAAAATTCCCCTCTAAAAGAGTTTTCAATTGAAAGCTGAGAGTGCTAATCACTGTGAACCAAACTTTTTTAAAGGCCTCCTTAATACTCCTCTTTATCATGTTGAGATGTGACCGTAATTGCTATGCACACAAGGCTGGCGTTGTGCTCAATCTTCTTCACACTTGAAAATCCCCCAAGACCCCACACAACACTGACAGTACTAAGGCCGTCTGGGAAAGTTGTATTATCCAATGAATTTGCCAGAACCAAGGGCGTTTTTTGAAGTGGGGCCTCCTTGGTTTAATTGGGCCAATCAGAGTTTCTTTGTGTAACGATCCCCATTATCCACCCTTGTCTTTCAAGCTCAGCAGCTATTCTTCCATATTGGATAGCTGAAACTAGCGAATGCATCCTAATCAACTTGCAGCCTCGCTAACTGGAGCCAAATCTAAGAATTAAGTACCTCCAAATATTTAAACCCTTATCAATGGATTGTGGTCCTCCAAACTTTACATCCATGCGTTCTAAGAACAAACTCAGATGCGTTCAAGAATAGATCATCATTCTGGCTCTCGATTATACCACTTAGAATCAAAATTTTACTGTGAGTCTTGTGTTGGTGTATTGGTATCTTTACGTGAAGGTGTTCAAGTGTGTGTATATATAGGTGTGCGCTTCAGGGGTAGCAAGGCGGATTCTGAAAAAGGCTGTAAAAGTCTGGAAGGGGCCGTTTGAAGCATGGATCCAAGAAATAGATTTCACGCTCAGAAAGCCTTCCTTCATTCTTAGACGCCTTATTCTTTAATGGTTGAATGTAATGGGAATACTTGACGGAAACCTTTACGTTGACTGTAGACCATGACGAACGGAATGGCAACACCAATGTCATCAACAAGATACGACGGAAACCATAATTCGGGAAGTGGCCAGATGTACTATGGGATCAATACTTTTTCTCCATTGCGGGCGCTTCAACACCTCCTTCTTCAGATAGTTCAGCAATTCTGCCTGTGCCTAATGCAGAACTTGATGATGATAGGGAAAAAGAATCGACTAAGTCCGGACGCCCGCAAGGATTAATCCGCAAATATCGATATTGGTTTGCGTTTGTCGTGGTTGTGGTCGGCCTTACTTGTATATTAATTCCACTTGGAACAAAAGTCATCCATCCCCATTCGCACGACAGTAAAACGTAAGTTCGATACCTTGCTACAGTACTAATGGCAAGAAGAGAGAGTAACCTGACAATTTGTAGCACTTCAAATTACTTATCCTCAAGAACGGGGACAAGTCTCACCACAATCCTCGATCTCACCTCTTTAACAACGACTCCAGCTTCGCAGACGAGAAGCGATCCGTTTATCCGATCTTCAGTATCACAAACCTCTTCGCCGAGTCCTTCCTCCTCCCTTCAGTCTATACCTATTTCAAGTCCTTCTTCTACCAAAGTCGGTTCGAGCACGCCTTCCGAATCAACCCCAACCTTCACTTCAACTGCGATATCATCTTCGTTGCTTACTTCACCTCTGGCTCAAATTATACCGAGGTCCCTATATTAGCGACAGCTACCACAAAGGAAGCGACGAAGACTGTCTTGCCTCCTGCCATAACATCACCTCCCTCATGCCAATATAACTGTATTGATCCCGACAATTGTAGATGGGGATGTCCTGGAGCATCGTGTGGCAACTACAATGACTGTACCGACCCATATCCGTGTAATACTGTCGCGCAGACATGTTGTAATACAGGATGCTTGCCAGGGTGGAGTTGTCAGGGCTCTTGTTTGTCGCCGCTGAAATGCTACGCTGCGAAGACAGGATCTGACCCGTCAACATGTGCTTAAAGGGAAGCGCGCAAGAAAAGACAATAGAACTTGTATTAGTAGAGTTTTTATAATAAATAAATATCGCAAGTATTAGAATTTTCATTGGCCTGCGGGAAATAGTAGTTTGTAATATTTCTTCGCAGTTCCTGAGATAGGGTGTACTCGTAGTTCATTTGGCGGTTCGCAAACCTGTTGCTCCTCTGAATATGCAGGGTGTTGTTACTGTATTGCTTGTGAGACACACTTTCGTCCAAGTCAGGCTACGAGCAAATAATCTTAGCATTCTCTTAGGCCAGCAAAGATTGAAGCCCGAATATTACTTGCATAGAAGATGATTGTAGCAATTCTTTTCATAAGGATTGAAATCAGAAGAAAACTAGACAATACCCTGGTAAGATAGTGTAAAATAGCCTGGAAGGCAGAATCGCTAGGCATTGGAATATCAGATAAGGCATCTCGATACTGGCGTTCACAAATCAACTCACAGGGCGCATACTTGCAGCAGCAGTGCTACTATTTCCTCCCAGGTAGGTATATTCACACTCATCAAGAGAATTTCAAGCTGATATCCGGTATACAACCATGGCGTCACCAGGGGGCGTCAGAATTCTGTGCGCAGCCCCAGATTTTGGCCAAAACATACCAAAAACACCCTACTTTACCAAATGCTAAATTATAATAAACTAACGAGTAATCTATATATTATGGTATTGATAATTTTATATAAGACAGGTACTAGCTCTAACTTTTACTGTTTAGAATTCTGATAAGAGAGCTGCCTCTATTATCCTATAAATATAGCGGATTTACTAGAGGATTTACTAAGGAACTTTTAACTAGAATATCTCTTAGAGTATTAGGATATTAAGAAGTACTCTAGAGAATTGATATGGGATGTCTTGCTTGTAGTTTTGTTATAAATTTGCAGAGTTATAGGGTTGTAAAAACGTGGTTTTTGGTGTGTTTTCGCCTAAAATCCAGGACTGCGTACGGAACTCTGACACCCCCTGGTGGCGTGAGAGGGTCTAACTCTCTGGCTCATCCTGTAATATAGACATTTACGATTTACAATTTGCGAACAAGAGTTATTAGTCTGAGTACCATTCCATATTTCAGGATGCTATGCCACCACAATCACACAAATGAAAGATATTCTTCAAAAGAGATACCTAAAGACGTCGAGAAGTACCTCGCTTAAAGCGAACGGACCAAAACAACACGCATAAACCTACCCGATATCACCACGTGGAACCCTCAACCTCATCTCTATCATCAGAACATCCAAGCCCTAGAAAATATCCAAAACGGTTAGGGATATTTTTTCAAATAATATCTACGCAAGAAGGGTAGCGAGATATACCAAAAAAGTACAATCTCTTATCTATTATCGTAAGGAAGAATGTTTATGTGTTGATGGAAGCGCAGCTAATGTGTAGATTCGATATAAATTCAAGATATAATCACAAATGTTTCGTAATGTGGTTGGAGTCGTGTCCTTAGGTATGTCGGAAAATAAGGAGGTAGAATGGGTGGTAACTCAAACAGACAAGGGTGTTGCAGATGTAGGGAATTGACGATCCAGCCAACCAACAAATAAGCAACATGCTCAATATTTCCCCTCAAGCATATATTTCAGCAATAACAATTCTCCACGACGTTGAACGACAAATTCTTATTCTTGTGTTTACTTTTTCTCTACAGAAAATTGTGGATTGTTTGCTGAATTCATATTACGCTACCCATCTCCAGGACTCAGTCTCCACTACAATTACACGGAACGGCTCGCATTTCCAACACGCTTCACCACCAGGAAACAATTCAACTCATCCTTACAACCCTCAATATGCCAAGTATTTCAGTCTTGTGCGCGGGCGTTCTTACCCTCGTATCGTGTTTCTATCTCTTCACATGGACATTGAAAGAAATCCGCTACCGAGCCGCCGCTCGCAAAGCGGGCTGCTCTCCACCAGTTCGATACTGGCATTACGACCCAATCCTCGGCCTCGATCTATTCATCCAGAGGGTAAAAGACATGAATGCAGGTGATTCCATCGCAACAGATCGAAACATTGTGAAGAAGTACGGCAGGACAGTCTTGACTAATGCTTGGGGAATCAAACAATACGTCACATCTGACCCGGCCAACACGCAGACCGTCCTTGCAACACAGGTTGACAAGTTTGGTTCTGCACCCATGAATAGACCTATGTGTCGACCGTTCCTGGGAGATGGGCTGTTTACTACAGATGGTCAGGAGTGGAAGCACTCTCGTCAGATGATTAACCCGTTGTTTACACGATCGCAAGTTTCAGAGCTGTCATCCTTTGAGAAGCATCTTGATAAGATGATTGCCAAAATTCCTAAGGATGAATCTACGGTTGATCTGCAACCACTTTGCAAGATGCTCTTCCTTGACAGCTCCACGGAGTTCATCTTCGGAAAGTCGGCCGACTCTCTCTCGCCAGAAACACATGATCCTATCGCTAGAGAACTACCGGCTCTTTTTGACCAGGCTCTTACCGACATGTTTGCTCGTTACATCCTTGGCAGATTCGGGTTCCTGGCTGTCTCTAAGAAGAAGTGGTTGGGCACCTGCGCGAATGTCCACAGAGTAATCGACGGTTTTATTGACGAAGAGATTGAAGCCCAAGCCAAGTCTGGGAATACCGATGCGCCGTACAAGTACGTCTTACTGAGAAAGTTAGTCAAGACATCCAAGGACAAGACAGCCATCCGCAGCGAACTGATGAATATCTTCTTCCCGGCCCGTGATACCGCTGCGATCCTCACCAGTAGTGTTTTTTTCATGCTCGCTCGAAACCCTAAAGTGTGGGACAAACTCCGCGCAGAAGTCCTGGGTATCGGATCAGAAGAGTTGACCTTTGAATTACTCAAGTCGATGAAATACCTCCAAGCGGTGATGAGCGAAAGTGAGTGTCAATTCCCCCCAAACTTGCATATTTATAGACCAAATCCTTACAAACACGCATTACAGCGCTACGAATCCACTCCCCAGCAAGCGGAAGCTGGAAGATATGTCTAGCACCTAGTATCCTTCCCCACGGCGGTGGACCTTCCGGAAACGATGCCATACTTTTGGAAACTGGTGACCAGGTACGCATGTCCTTTGCTCCCTTACATTTGGACAAGGAGATCTGGGGTGCCGACATCCTCGAGTTCCGACCAGAGAGATGAGATGGACTTAAATACAGTTGGAACTTTGTCCCATTTATGGGAGGGAGAAGGATTTGTCCGGCCCAGCAGAATGTTCTCACCGATGTGGGCTGTATAATTGTGAGGATTATGCAGAGATTCAAGGCGTATGAGAATAGGGATGAGTGTTTTGAGTATATCGATAAGATTGTTTTCACGCGGGAGAGTAGGAATGGGGTGAAGGTTGGGTTGATACCGGTTTAGTGTTCAGGTCGAGGGTTCGTGATCTTGTCGCTTCTGTAGAAGAGTTGGGTAGATTCAATGTCCTGGCAAAGACCCTCGAATTACTCGAGCCATGAATTTAGAATCTTAGCTTGCTCTTTCAAACGATTAATCTTATGGGGTTTGTCACAAAACTGCTTACTGATCTGCTTGTTCATTTTCCTACTGAATATACTCAAAACAATCGAGTGGCCAAACACATTAAAGGTAGTGAAAGTTTCATATCTCTCCGAATAATTAAAAGCTGTGAACCCGAAAAGAGAGTAGAAGAACTTCCAAAGGTACGTTGATAGAGACTTATCTAAGCTTCAAAAAAAGCTCAATATTAGCATTCTAGAAGCTCTTCAATATCCTTAATACACCCTAGGAAACCTTAGCCGAGACCCATCACGTGCAAATAGAGTTTTCGGCAGCAGCCGGGGATTGGGATTGGTCATCCGACCGAAAAGGCAGGACATTGCTTATGCAAGGCTGCGGCTCAACAGCGTCCAGTCTCCCAAAAAATCCACAAAACATACACTCCTCCTAAGGTGACCCAAACCACCCCCCTCACATTCTCTACCTCCCTCATACATAAATCTTTTTCCTGCGCACATCTCTTTTCCCGGTCTTCAAGGACCAAACACACCTACATCAATAATGAGTCTCTTCGGCAACAAGAACTGCGCCATCAAGCCTCGTCCCGCCATCACGCGCATCATCTCCCAACCCGTCGCGAAGAAACCTGCCTCGACCCCTCTCCCCTCCAAAACCAAGTCGCAAAATACCGTCCATCGAGGTCGCGACTCGACATCCATAGCAAGGAGCTCACCCTCTGGGTCCTCAGCTTCAGCACACCGATCTAGAACTAGTACGCCCGCAGGTGGTGAGCGACAAACAGACGCTTCCAAACTCCATCCTCGACCCAAACGTCCGAAACTGCAACGTGCCTCGCCCAGTCATCAACCTATCTTCGATTCGGATGACGATGACGAGGCGAGCTCCTCAGATGATGCAGCGTCCCATAAGCGTCGCAAGATGGGGGGTGTTCAGACGGTTGTAGATTCGAAGCGCTCTCTGCGATCGCGAAAGGCATTTTCGAACCAGGATGGAGGTTTATTCCCTATGATTCATGCTGCAGATTTAGTCGCGCCGCTGTCGAGAAGTAATCCGAATCCGTCGCAGGGAAATTTCACGGTCAAGTTGAAATATCCAAGTGCTTCTCAGCGGGAGAGGTATTTGCCAAGTCCTGGTCGCATATCAATTTCCAGGCAGATGACTAATTTGTTGATGATGTAGGTACGATTTGCAAGGCGGGAAGGATGTCATAAACTCCATTCAAGAGATTATTGATGTTGCTAGTATAGTTACGGATTTTTACATGACCGAGAAACAAGCGGAACCCTTTCGCGACCCGAATAATGGCTACATCCGACAACTCGAGAAAGCAAGAAACAATTTGACGAACAAGAAGAAAGGGGACGGAAGACCAGATGTGGAGACTCTATTGAATGACTTCAAAACTGCGGTCAGAAATTACAACGTGGCTATTGATAAGCTAAGAACAGACGGATCCGTGGAAAAGAATCTCGACGATAAACACCACCTCCCTTTCAAAATGGTTCGGATGATTACTACTCAAGCATATGATCGTACCGTGTCACCTCGTGTTGACGATCTGAAGAAATATGAAGCCGGAAGCAACAATGTTTATGGCGAGCTGAGACCCAAATTGGTTTCTGAAATCTTGGGGGAAGCTGATCTAAAGTCTGATCATGTCTTTGTAGATCTCGGTTCAGGAGTCGGAAACGTGGTATTGCAAGCGGCTCTGGAATTCGGTTGTGAAAGCTGGGGTTGTGAAATGATGGTCAACGCTTACACGCTGGCGGACGCCTACAAGAAAGAATTCACCGCTCGCTGTCGCCTATGGGGGATTGCTCCTGGAAGTGTACGCCTTGAACATGGAGATTTCTTGGAAAACGCCAAGATTCATTCTGCACTCGAACGTGCGGATGTGATCTTGGTCAACAACCAAGTCTTCTCTTCCGATCTTAACAGAGCACTCGTTGATCTCTTTCTGGATCTGAAAGATGGCTGCAAGATCATTTCCCTCAAGCCGTTCGTACCAAAAGACCATGAAATTACGACCCGAAATATCAACGATGCTGTGAACAATCTCAAGGTCATCAAGAAAGGCGCATATTCTGGACAAGGCGATGCGGTAAGCTGGAGTGGTGGAGGTGGCGATTACTTCATCACTGTGAAGGATGCCGCGCATATGAGGGAATATGCTGAAGCGCTAGGCATATGAGAGGGCTAGTTGGATATACCAAACAACTGGTCTAGGCGGACTGTATTATGAAGAGTTTATGAGGGTATGATCAGCGTGGATTTTAGAGATTATGATACACTTACAGAGCGAGCGGCTGAGCGGACAAACAACCAAAAAACAACATAATAAACATTATTACTGTATACCCTTGTTTTCTGTTTCTTTCTGGTGTAATGTGATATGATGGTGGTATTTTGAATGGTGAGACTTTCGTAGATATCATAAAGCGTTATTCATAGCCTCTGCTTCTCGTCCCTTGTACGCCAGCCAACGATCGATGAGCTCCTTATTCTCGGTCTTCAGTTTTTTAATGGTCTGTTCAGACATATTGAGTTGTAAGTTAAGCGATAGTACTTCATCCTGTACCTCCTATAATGAAATATTAGCACCCCACCTTTCCCATCCACCCCCTCCATCCACTCATCAAAATAGAGTAGACGACTTACATCCAACAACCTAGCCTTCCCCCTCAACTCCTCATCTCGATCCCTCACCTTCTGACTCAACACATTCCTCTCCCGCGTGACCGTCTCCAACGCCTTGCTGTCGGATTTACTCTGCGTCTGTACCTTTGCCAACGCTGCTTCTGCGTTTTTCAACCGCGTTTGAAGGGTTGTATTGCTGAGTAAGGCTTGTGCTAGATCGGACTTGAGTTGCACGGCTGAGGGGTCGGTGGTGGGTGAATCTGATCCAGTTCGTTTGGAGGGCGGGAGTGGTTTGAGAGCTGAGTTTGAGGTGGAGGGGGAGGGAGTTGGTTGGGAAGCGGCGGTTGCGGCTTTTTCGGCTTCTAGAGCGCTGGTACGGGCGAGGAGGTCGGTGACTGGGTGTGGTTAGTTGGATTGGGTTGAGGGAGGGGATGGAGAGATGGGAATGAGGGGCAGAGGAAGGTTTACAGGCGTTGATGAGGGAATTATCGATCCGGGCGTAGGAGGCTTTTTGTCGTTCGTCGCGGTCGTGGAGGGATTGGGTGTATTCGGTGCGCCAGGATGTAGATGCCATTATTATTTTCCTGTTCTATATTTTTCGTTAGGAAGGGAAGTGGAAGTGATGCAAGCACCAAATCATGACATGGTGGAGGGGAGAAGGCTGAATCAGATGTTGGATTGTACCAGGAAATGCAAGCGGCAAGGCTGTGAGTCGTCAGTGGAGTAACTGGAGTTGGAGGGCAGTAGCGGAGCCGAGGATTGGCCGCGCTTAGAGCTTCAGGTGGCTGCTGCAGGTGCTTGGACTTGGGCTTCTTGAAGCTTGACCGTAGTGTACCATACAAGTCTCCAACCTCGCAACCTCAACACAAAATCTTACGACTGGAGAATACACGAACGTCTGTGCCACCTAACGATCTTCTTACGAATTTGTTACACGCTTCGTTACGTGCGAATACGATCTCTACGGAAGGAATAGGCGGTTGAGGACCGGACGTCGTTGATTACATCGTTCTTTCGTGATCGCGAGCTCTTACCCGGTTTCTCGACGAGATATTCTCCACCTCCGGGATCATGGCGTCTAGAAAAAAGGTGCTCTTGAAGGTTCGTCACATATACGAGGGTTGGAAGAGAGGGATGTGTGCTGATGGGTGATAGGTCATCATCTTGGGTGATAGCGGTGTTGGGAAGACTAGTTTGATGAATCAATATGTATGTTACGGCACGATCTTTCAAGAACCCCCGATACTTTTCATACGATGCATACGCATGTGCAGCGCAGGACAGAGGACTGATTAGAGGATAGGTCAACAAGAAGTTCAGCGCAAGTTACAAGGCTACCATCGGCGCGGATTTCCTGACGAAGGAGGTGTTGGTTGATGATCGTTTGGTGACTATGCAGGTACGATCACCCATAACATTCTGGCTGAAGGGCCTTAACTGATCATTGGTTTTTTTAGTTATGGGATACCGCCGGCCAGGAAAGATTTCAGTCTTTAGGTGTCGCTTTCTATCGTGGTGCCGACTGCTGTGTACTTGTATATGATGTCAACAACTCAAAGAGTTTCGATACACTTGATAGTTGGAGAGATGAGTTCCTGATTCAGGCATCACCCAGGGATCCGGATAATTTCCCTTTCGTGAGTCTGAATCACGAGGGCGGGGATGGTACATTGCTGATGGCTTGTAGGTCGTACTTGGGAATAAGATTGATGTGGAAGAGAATAAGAGAGTGGTATGTTATGCATTTTGCTGTTAGTAGAAGACATGTTGCTAATGTGAATTATAGATTTCCGGAAAACGAGCTTTGACATTTTGCCAGTCGAAGGGTGATATTCCTTACTTTGAGACGAGCGCAAAGGAGGCTATTAACGTGGAGCAAGCATTTGAGAGTATGAAATCCGCTATTGACTCCTCTCAACTTGGACGGAAACTAACATATTAAATAGCTATCGCAAGACACGCTCTCGCCCAAGAAGAATCCGAAGAATTCAGTGGGGATTTCTCGGATCCAATCAACATCCACATTGAGAACGACCGGGACGGATGTGCATGCTAGAAACGAGATGAATGAACCATCCTGGGCGGCTGTCTCTTTGTTGTTTTCTCGAGGATGAATCGTTGGGTTATATTGACATACTCATCCTCTTTTTTTTTTTCTCCCTATATTCCGGCATCGTTTCTTCCAATATCGGTTGTGTAGAAGAACGAGCGCTGTTTGGGGACGTGTATGTACATATGGATTAATCATGGCGCTGTTGGCGTCTTACTCTCTTTGTTTTATGTCCTCGTGTCTTTTTTTCATTTGGCTTTGCGTGTTGTGATGAGGTGTGGGTGTTCGTGTTATGGTTCGGGTATGATGTGGATGTCTGGATTCTGGTGTGGTTTCAGTTTCTGATGTTCGGATGAGGAACGACCTTGGAAGACCGATGTGTATCATACCGGACTTCTGATTGAACCCGTGTACTGGGTAATAATTCTCGTATCCTAGATGGCCATTTATCTATATAGTATTTTACTTGGGCACACCAGAGTACTAAAAGCAAAAAAAGTGATTGTGGTCTTCAATAATAGGCCGGAATCCTACTGTAACTCAGCATCCCGGTGATTCTTGGCAACCCTGGGACCCACCAGCATGACATACACAGACGCGACGACAAACTACCAACAAGGCTAAGTACTTGGTAACTCTAACTTATTCTAGGACGAACCAAGAAAGACAAGCAGAGGAAACCTCGGATATTTCTGTCGCTACTAAACGGCTCACGCCATCACCAACACCAACTCTCAACTATCCATGACTAAAGGACTTCTGTGTCCGATCCTGCATCCTCCATGACCGTTGGCCCCTGAAGCCAGCATTAGCATAAGCGGCGCATCTGCAACATCCGAACTCTCGAGGCCAGCTAGGCCCAACACCATTCTTTCACCGCGAACACGATGAGCGCTCAGGAACCGCCTGTTCCGCCGGCTGTTGCGGAATCTTTCAATTTGGGTACGGAGGGGAGGTTAGATGTGCGGAATGAACAGCCGCAGCGTAGATCGATGTCCTCGACGGCGCGTTCGTCGTTGAAACTGAGGAGTAGAGGGGGGTTTAAGAAGAGTATGGGTTTGGAGAATGTGGCGAGGAGGACGTTGGGTATTTCGCTTTTGCTTGCGACGGTGTTTTTGTGGACTAGTTCGAATTTTCTGGCTTCTGTAAGTCCAAGTCCTTTTCCAGTTCCGAGGGATGGGGAGGGAATGGGGATGGTGGGTACATCGGATGTGAATGAATGAATACTGATGAAAGGCATATGCATAGTACATTTTCGCGGATGATTCGTATTCTAAACCGTTTTTTGTCACGTACATAAATACCTCTTTCTTTGCCATATCTCTGGTCCCGATTATGTGGCGGATAATACGGCGAGATGGGATGGCGCACTTGAAGTCCTCGACGATTGACTACTGGCATGGAAGAGGGGGGCATGCATACGAAGGGGTAGCAACCAAGACCGGGAATGGGGATGAGGAAGCAGAAGATCCCATGTCCGCCTCGGAAACTCGACTACTAGTCGACTCAGAAGACGCCAATGGACCAGCTTTAAGCATGTCCGGAGATCCTATACCACCAGAAGAGGCACAACTAAACGTCCCCGAAACGGCACGACTGAGTTTGGAATTTGCTTTCCTCTGGTTCATAGCAAATTACCTTGTCGCAGCATGTCTAGAATACACCAGCGTAGCCTCCTCCACAATCCTCAACTCTATGAGCAGCATCTGGACGCTCATCTTCGGCGCCATGTTCCGCGTCGAAGCATTCTCCTACAAGAAACTGATAGGGGTTCTCGCCTCCCTTACAGGAATCATACTAATCTCCTCCGTGGACCTAAGCGGGGAAAACAACGACGAGAACCGCGGGAATTTCCCACATAAAACCAAGAACCAGATCGCAATTGGGGATGCGATGGCATTTGGGAGCGCGATCATGTATGGTGTTTATGCGATTGTCATGAAGAAACGAATTGGCAATGAGGATCGAGTCAACATGCCTCTATTTTTTGGACTGGTGGGCTTATTTAATTGCTTGCTGCTTTGGCCGGGATTCTTTATCCTGCATTTTACTGGCGTGGAGGAGTGGGAGATGCCACCTACGGGGAAGATCTGGCTTGTTGTTTTGGTAATTTCTCCCTCTCATACCCCTACCATTTTCTTCATACCCTCACCTATTTCCCTCATACCACCCCCCCAACAATCCAAAAACTCCTCAAAAGACTAACCCGATTCCAAGGCCAACTCCCTCTCCTCCTTCGTCAGCGACTACTGCTGGGCCTACGCGATGCTCCTCACCACCCCCCTCGTCGTCGCGGTCGGTCTCTCAATGACCATCCCGCTCTCCCTCATCGGACAGATGATCCTTAGTAAACAGTATTCGAGCGCCCTCTACTGGGTCGGGGCCGGCATCGTGCTGCTTAGTTTCTTGTTTGTGAACCATGAGAGTAAGGATGAGGAGGAGGAGGGGGCGGGAGCGGGGAGAACTAGAGATGCTGGGGAGGGTGTGTGATTTTTGCGTCTGATAGAGGGAAGATAGGTATAGGTAGATGGGGAGAGGGGGGAAGGGGACAGGGGAAGGAGGGGAGGTTAGAAAGAAAGAAAGTTGACGATGATTGGTATAAATCCATGCATTTTTGGGATTTCAAGGGACTTAATCTTTTTCGGGAGCTTTGTTTGTTGTATAGATTGGATGGCGTATGGGTTTTATGGCATGACATGGGATGCAATGGATGGCCCTAGGAGTTTTTTTTGTTTTGTGGCAAAAATCAAATTCCTTCTACTGCTTGCTACTTTTGTCGTGGAAACTTGATGGGTTTTGTTGGTTGTGATGAGTGATTAGAGTGACACTCTTTTTCTTTTTATCCTTCTCATCTTGGGGCTTTTTAGGGGTTTTATGGTAAGGAAGGAAGTGAAGGTGGAGTAGGGAGAGGGTTAGGTAGAGCTGGGTTGGGTCTTCTCTTATATTTAGAGGAGGGAGGTTCGATCATTGATTCCCTCCCTCTTTTTTTTTTGTTTTTTGAAATGAAGATTCTCTTTTTTTTTAGGTGGGTCGGATGGAAGAGGGGGGGGAAGAGATTGAGAGAGAGGGAGACATTGAGAGGAGGGGTGAGGGGGGGAGAGTGTGTGTGGTGTAATATTTTGGGGGAGAGTCTTGAAGCTTGGGTTTTGATTAGAATCCAATAGCATGGACAGTTTGCTCTAGTAGAAAGGAAAGGAAGAGGGTTAAGGGTTTAGTTGGAAAAGAAGTTGGATTATTTTGTGTCTTTTTTTTTCTTTTTTTTTT